GCGCGTGAGAGAGCGCGTGCGGGTGCGCTTGAGAGAGCGCGTGAGGGTGCGCGTGAGAAAGCGCGTGAGAGAGCGCGTGAGGGTGCGCTTGAGAGTGCGCGTGAGAGTGCATTGAGAGTGCGCGTGGGAGTGCGCGAGAGAGAGCGTGTGAGGGAGCGCGTGAGGGAGCGCGTGAGAGGACGCGTGAGAGTGCGCGTGAGAAAGCGCGTGAGAGAGCGCGTGAGAGTGCGCGTGAGAGTGCGCGTGAGAGTGCTCGTGAGAGTGCGCGTGAGAGAGCGCGTGAGAGTCCGCGTGCGCGTGAGAGAGCGCGTGAGAGAGCGCGTGAGGGTGCACGTGAGAGAGCGCGTGAGAGAGCGCGTGAGGGTGCGCTTGAGAGTGCGCGTGAGAGTGCATTGAGAGTGCGCGTGAGAGTGCGCGTGAGAGAGCGCGTGAGAGAGCGCGTGAGAGAGCGCGTAAGGGAGCGCGTGAGAGAGAGCATGAGAGGGCGCATGAGAGAGCGCGTGAGAGAGCGCGTGAGGGTGCGCGTGAGAGAGGGTGTGAGAGAGAGCGTGGCGCGAGAGAGAGCGCGTGAGGGAGCGCGTGAGGGAGCGCGTGAGAGGACGCGTGAGAGTGCGCGTGAGAGAGCGCGTGAGAGAGCGCGTGAGAGAGCGCGTGAGAGAGCGCGTGAGAGGGCGCTTGTGTGAGCGCGTGAGAGAGCGCGTGAGCGCGAGAGAGAGCGAGTAAGGGAGCACGTAAGAGAGAGCATGAGAGGGCGCATGAGAGAGCGCGTGAAAGAGCGCGTGAGTGAGCCTCATGAGCACGCTGGGGCATATGCACTAGCATCTGTTCTGCTGGTGCTTGGGCAACTGGGGCTACTCATGCAAACGGTTGTCGCTTTTTGCACTAGTGCTTAGGGTGCCGGCTTCTAAGGTGTTGGCTTCTCTGTTTTGCTGTGTGCAGGGCGTGTGTATGTTGACGTCCTTGATTTTGGTGTGTGCAGGGCGTGTGTGTGTTGATGTCTCTGATTTTGCTGTATGCAGGGCGTGTGTGTGTTGACGTCCCTGATTTTGCTGTGTGCAGGGCGTGTGTGTGTTGACGTCCCTGATTTTGCTGTGTGCAGGGCGTGTGTGTGTGTTGGCTTCTCTCTTTTGGCTTTGTGCAGGGCGTGTGTGTGTTGGCTTCTCTTTTGGCTTTGTGCAGGGCGTGTGTGTGTTGGCTTCTCTCTTTTGGCTTTGTGCAGGGCGTGTGTGTGTTGGCTTCTCTCTTTTGGCTTTGAGCTCGTTTGCTCGTGTGTCACTGTGTGCAGGGAGTGAGCTGCATTTGCTGTTTTTTCCTTTCCTGTGCAGGAATTTCAAGCTGCAATCATTGTTTCTTGTGGAGAAAGAAAGGGGCTGGGGGGGGGGGGGGGGGGGGGGGGGGGGGGGGGGGGGGGGGGGGGGAAGGGGGGGGGGGGGGAAGGGGAAGGGAGATGAGGGAGGGGGAAAGGGAGGGGAATGGGGGACAAGGTAACGATGATTTATTAATTGGTGAACTTCATTGGCTATGCTTGCATGCTTAGTAGATGTATGTTTCTGCGTTTTTTTTTGTTTTTTTTCTGTCTGCGTATGTGTGAGCGTGTATGTGAATGTGCGTACATGACTGTAGTGTTGTTTGTGTCTGCTTCGGGGTGAGTGCCAAGTGCCTCGTTTATGCAATTGGGGTTGTGATCGTTGGTGGGCAGCTTTGCTTGCCTCTTCCATACCAGATCAATCGCAGTTGTATCCACGATGCATTTTAGCATTAGCTTCGAAGCATTCACAACTATTGTCCCTTGTCTCTGTACAAGTTAGTGTGCTGTCGTTTGTGTCTGTTTTGGGGTGTGTGCTAAGTGCCTTGTGTATGCAACGTGGGTTGTGATCGTCGGTGGGGCAGTTTCACTCTCTTCCGTACCATATCAATCCCTGTTGCAACATGAATGCATCTAGTATTCATTTCAAAAGATTCACATATTGTTTGTTTGCTTGTTTTTTTTTTTTTTTTTTGTTCTACTTGGTACGAGCGGGAGTTTGCCTACGCGTTCTAATCGTTCTGTTATTAGTGCGTAGTGAGTGATTGTCCAATTGTTCCATTCGCCGTACTTATCGACGATGGAATGATTGGACACATTTGTTTCCATTTTTCGGGTAACTAATGTGAACAGTGATTTTTTTTTTAAGGAAAATACACTGTTCACGTCAGTCAACCGAAAAGTGAAAACGAATGTATAAGGTTGCTACGCAACCCAAAAATCCATCGCATAAGTTCCACCAACGTCCCCTTTCCCAACGCAATCCCCATTGATCATCCCCTTTTAGTACAGACAAAGCCCTTCATTCCAAATCAGTCTACTCAGGGCGACAGAGCTGCAATCACATCCAACGATGGCGTTTGTTCCTTTTCTTAGCCGCCTCAAAGCCATGGTTCTACCCGCGCGCGCCGATCCGCCCTTCCCCGTGGAGCGCCTCCCCGACGACGTTCTCGCGCTCGTCCTCCGCTCGCTCGCGCAGACCTCCTTCCGCCACGCGCTCGTTTCCAAGCGCTGGCTCCGCCTCGCCACGTCCGCGCTCTCCCATTTTATCATTGAGATACATAATCCCGAGCACTACCGCAACGCGCAGCTTGCGTGGCTCCCGCTCCCGCGCCTCCTGTCCGCGCTGCGCCGCTTCCCCACCCTCACGCACGTGTCGCTGGGCGAGTTCTCCATCTTATTCGCCGACGGCGACGCGCTCTTTCAATGTCTAGCCGCCACGTGTCCGAGCCTGAGCCATCTAACAGTGGAGCATCAGCTTCGCATGGCGGTTACGGTAGACGGCCTCGCGTCGCTCTTCCGTGGATGTCGCAAGCTTAGAGAACTCCGCCTGCTCACCACCGCCGGCTTCCCGCATCTCCCGGCGTCAATCTCGCTCCTGACAGATCTCCAAACCCTCCACGTGTGCGCGCATACTCATTCTGGCAAAGACTCGTTACAGGAGCTCGTTTCGCCACCCGAGAGCATCGGCGCGCTGCAGCAGCTGCGGGAATTGCGGGTCAGTGCGGGAGCGAGTTTCCAGGGACTGGGGGAGTGCGTGGGTCTCCTGAGGAACCTCCGCAAGTTGAATATCAGTAGTGTGTTCTCGAGAACCGTCACAGAGCTTCCCGACGCGATAGGCGATTTGGATCGGCTGGAAAGCCTGGAAGTCGAGCTGGACGGGCTCGAGTGCCTTCCGGAATCCCTCCAACTGCTGACCGGGCTGAAAACCCTCTCTCTCCAATCCAAACGTCTGCAGCGCATCCCCGAACATGTTATAGCGGGGCTGACTCAGCTGCAGTCTCTCTCCCTCCACGCCTGCGATTCCCTCGGGATTCTCCCAGAGAGCATCTGCTTTCTCCCTCTCTCCTCCCTCTCCATCTCCTCCTGCTCCCCCCTCACCTCACTCCCACACCACATCGGCGCCTTGTCCCGTCTGCAAACCCTAAAGCTCCTCTCCCTCAATAATATCCGGGCTCTGCCCGAAAGCCTGGGTAATTTACCCCAGTTGAAATTGCTCGAACTAGAGCTGCCCACGCTGCAGCATCCGCCCGAGAGATTGTTCGAAAGCAGCCTGCCAGCGTGCCTGGAAAGGCTGAGCCTGACCAACTGTTATCAACTGAAAGATCTTCCTCCCTCCCTGTACAAGCTGACTCGTTTAGAGTCCCTCCATGTCGAGTCGTGCTCCGAAATAAAGTCTCTGAAGCCGCTGATCTCTCCAAACCCCCCTGAAGGTGCCGAAAGTGGGTTGGAATCGTTGAGTCCGGTTGAAAAGGCGATCATTTTTGCACTCTGCACTGCTGCAGTCTTTGCTGTGATGCTGCTCATCTCCGCACCGTTGCTCACCGTGCGAGATCTCATAGCACCGTCTTCTGCTGCCGTGCTAGCTCTCATCGGCACAAGAAGTGGCAGTCCTGTCGCCGTCGTTGCATCGCTGCTTCTTGTTGTGGTGCTGCTGCTGATGTCTCTGGTGTCCAGTGCATGGCTCTATCCTGCCATGCTGCTTGCTGCCGCACTGCTGGTGTTCCTGTTCATAGATACCGGTACCTCTGCCTCAGGCCCTGCTTCTGTTCCTGACTTTGCCGCTGCCTCTGCCCCTGCCTCTGCCCCTGCCTCTGCCCCTGCTTCTTCTCCTGACGTTGCAGCTGCCTCTGCCCCTCCCCCTACCCCCGCCTGTGTATCTATCCCTGTCTCTGATTCTGCAACGAATTGCACAGAACAACACCCGGGCCTAGTTTCCCTCACCATATTAAAAGTTTCTGACTGCCCGTTTATCTCCTCCCTCCCGGAAAACTTCTCCTTCCCTGCCCTGCATACGCTCACCCTGCATTCCCTGGGCAACCTGGAAAATCTCCTGGACTTATCCAGCAGGCAGCTGCCCCAACTGCAGCATCTGGACTTGGAGAGGGTGGGTGATGAGGCTGACCCATGGCTGCTTGACTGCCTTCCCGGTGTGCGATCAGGGAGAATGCGATGGTTGCTGCATGTCAAAGCTCTGTTTGTGCTTCTGCAGATTGTTGAAGCGTTGCTGCAGCTGGCTGTGTTGCTGATGAGGGCGGGTTGTTCAGGGCTGCAGGGTGCTTGCACTTGGTCGGCTGGTCTTGCATGCCGATCGTGCAGGCGAGCGTACAGGTGGTGTGTCAGGGAGGCGGAAGAAAAAAACCGCTTGCTGTGAGCCAGGACTCAGGATTTCAGATAGTTGTAACTTGTACGGTACACACAATGCACGATGTACAGGTTAGTGTACACACCCAACCTCTTGTAATAAATAGTTGTTTAAGGGTTTCTCCCTGCTAGCCAGTTATCTGGGAGAAATCAGAACACCATAGATTAGTTCAGACACGGTACTATCCATTGCTCATGGCTCTCTCTGTAAGAGCAACAAGCACACGGATCCCCTTGATACCCCCCTCTCACATACACCCTCCCCTCACTGTCATTCCTACAAATCTTCTTCTCAAAACGGTACCGGTGCTCTTTTGAAGGCTTCATGACCTTACCGCCCATCCACTTGTGATTGAAATGGTGCACACATTGGACAGATGGGAGCAGCCACAGCGACTCTGGCAGCACCTTTACGCCCGTGTCAACGATATACACGCTAGAGAGACAAGGAAGGAAAGTCGACTTGGAACCAAGGTCTCGGCGTGCTTTCGCCTCCCTGGAGAAATTCAAGGGAGAGCGGAGTGGGGCTGACAAGGCCGATAGGAAAAATTTCTTCCCCTTTTGGGCTGTGACAGACGTGCAGCTGCTGAAATCACCTGCTAAAGTGCACATTTCAGCTTCAGGCGGCAAACCCCCCTCCACATTGTCGCACCGTAACCCACCACACTTCACCGCTTCACCAGTCACACTCCCCTCCACCCCACCCACACTACATGCCTCCATAGCACCATTGAAGAACGGAAGAAAATCCAGATCTTGAATGCTGAGGCAGGAGCGAATCGCGAGGGAGGAGAGAGAGGACAAGGCAGAGGGGATGTTGCGAGGGAGGGATTTGAGCTGCGAGCAGCCATGGATGACTAGGGTTTGCAGGTTGGAGAGCAGGGAGAGAGACGGAGGAAGCTCCTCAAGCTTCGGCAGAAGTGACACAGTCAGCCTGCGAAGGTTTTTAAGCTGCCCGAGTGGAGGGAGAGAGTCCAGATGGCGGAGTCCCACCAGACGAAGGCTTTCGAGAGCGGGCAGCCATATCTGGCCTTGGCAAGGGGAGTCGACCGGCCCGGGCAGGTCTCGAAGAGCCGTGCACTGTTCCAGCTCCAGGTAACGGAGGTTTGAGAGCTGCCCAAAGGAGTCGGGCAGGTTGGATAAATGATACACCCAGATCATGCGAAGGGTCTGCAGTTGGGAGAGTGACCCAAAATTATGGGGAAGGGCGGTGAGAGATGCACAGTTATGAAGCTCCAGAAGTTCTATTCTGAGCTGCCCGAAAGAGTCGGGCAGTGACACCAAACACGTGCAGTCCCTCAACCGCAGCTGCTGAAGGTTGGCCATGCTGCCCATCCTCTCGGGCAGCTGACTCAATTTCCTCAGTCTAAGCCAGAGCACTTGTAGCAGGGGCAGGTCACAGATCTCCTCGGGCAGGGCAGAAACTTTTTCCGAGGTGACCTCCAAGTGGCTAAGCATCTTCAGTGCGCCAACACACGCAGGCACCGCCTGCAAGCACCAGCTGTTGACTCTTAGGTAAGTGAGCGGACTTAAACACTGTAAGTGTGAAGCGCATGTGGTCAGCGAAGTTAGAGCTGAATCCCGCTGCCTCCTAATCCGAGCACTTATTAAGTCCAGGCTGGTACCGCTATCACCCCTTGTAGGCATCAAATTCTGCCCCTGCGCCTGCCTCCTTTCCTCCGCTTCCCCGCAGCCTCCCCTTCCGCCTTCCCCACCCCCCTCCGCCCCCTCCAGCGCATGCTTTCCGCCTTCCCCCCAGAACCATGCGCCACTGTCCCCCAAGTCGAGCGCGGAGAGGTTGGTGAGGCGGGAGACGGCGGGCGGAAGCGCGGAGATTGCGCTCAGGGAGAGCAGGCGCAACGACTCCAGGCGCGGGCATCCGCGGAAGAGCGCGGAGAGTCCGGCGGCGGAAACTCGGCCCTCCGCGCGAGATTGGTGAGCGAGAGCGAAGCTCTTCAGATGCGGACACGTGTCAGAGATCCGACGGAGCAGCTCGTCTTGAAGGATTGGAGAATCGAACGGTGGAATGATAACATTTTCCGCAATATCTAGATACGTGATTGTAGGGAAAGTTCTCAAAGCGCACAGAAGGTCAGCCGGGGTGATTTCCCTCGTTATTGTGACATGGGAGAGCGAGAGGCGGAGGAGGCGGCACCAGCGTTTGCACACGAGATTCGTCTGCAAGGCGAGGTGGATCGAGCGACGCGAGACGAGGCGAAGCACCAACGCGAGAACGTCGTCTGGAAGATCGTCCAGGGGGAAGGGAACGACATACGGCTCGTCTCTGCGGGGAAGCGAATCGGACGGTGAGGATTGCGAGAAGAAAGCGTTGATGTTGGCGGTGAGGAATGCCATGGCGGGAATACAGCAAGCGAGAAAATCGGCTACTAGATGAGTGGGCGGGTGCCTCCTAATCTACGCCTTACGCCCTTGCCTTGATTCTGGGGAAAGTGCGATGTGTGCGAGCTGTGGGGACTGGATTCACGTAAAAACGTTTCATACTGAATTCCCGGTACAAGTTGACGTATGGTACGACATTATAACTTATTCACCAATGCATGAATGACATTTCTACTAACTATATACCATCATGCATCCCATGTAGCTAACACAAAATCACGGCAATGCACACACGGGTAGCTATAATTCCTAGAATAAACAAACCCTCCCTGCACGCTCTCACACGAATACCTGGAAAACCCGTACACCTCCGGCAACGAAAACACCGGAAAGCCAAGCCACCCCCCATTTCGAAAGTGTACAGTTTGTAGTGACTCCACATGTAGAAGAGATGGTGGAAGGGACTTCATGCCACAATCAAACACAAGCACATGGCGCAGCGTGTCTGTGCCGCCCCTGCTGGCCTTCCCCTCTTCGCTATCCAGACTGCACAAGCTTGTGCACTCGATAAGTGCCACCTTGGACAGGTTCCGAAGGCCTGAGATTGTGCCACGTGGCAGGGATGCCAGGTTGGCACATTGGTGAATGACCAGCAGTTCTAGGGATGGCAGTTGTGGGAGAGAGGCAGGGAGATACTCTAGATTGGGCAGCTGAGAAAGTATTAGCTTACGCAGAGATTTCAGCTGCCCGAGCGAATCGGGCAGGACAGTGAAATTGTCCAGTCTGACAAGCCGGAGAAGCTCCAGCTTGGGCAGGCAGCCTAGGTCTTCGGGCAGGGCAAGGATCCCAGTGTGGTCCGTCATCTCTAGTATCACTAACGAGGACAGCCCTAACGAGGATGAAGGTAACTGCCTCCCCACTCTCCAATGTGAACCGTCGCCAGCCAGATTACCCTCCTGCTGCTCCCCCCCTTCCCACAGCCTCCCCTCCTCTTGCTGCTGCTGCTGCTGCTGCTGCGACGGCACCACCCCCTGCTGCATCTCGTCCTCCCTCTCCTCCTCCATTCCTTCATCCTCCTCCTTATCCTCCTCATCCTCGCATGTCTCTTCCCGTATGCGCCCACCCAACCCAGTACACAATCCAATAGGCCGCGCCCTCCTCTGTGGACCCTGCATTGGCTCGTGCCTGACAATGACATTCTCACGGGGGAGGGAAACGGATTCCCCAGGAACACCCCCCCCAGCAACAGACGACGACGCTTGCGAAGGGGAGGGAGACACAGGCGATGCAGAGGCAGTGGCAGGCGGAAGGGATTGGTGTTGCGGGAGGGGCGGCGAAGCTAGGAGTTGAGCGGTGAGGGGGGGCACGTGGGGGAGGTCAGGGAAAGCTGCTATGCTGAGTCGTTCCAAGCGGGCTAGGAGGTAGAGGGAGAGGGGAAGGCGGACCACCCCGCATGTGCTCATGTCGAGGATTCTCAGCTTCGGCAGGTGCCCGAAGAGTTCGGGCAGCGTGCGCAGGCTCGGAAGCTCGTGTAGTTTTAGGGTTTCCAGAGCGGGCAGGAAGCTGAAACTTTCTGGGAGAGACCGAAGGCGGTCGCAGAGGTGAATGCTGAGGAAGGATAGGCTGGAAAGCTGCCCGAACGAGTCGGGAAGTTTTGATAGACTCACGCAATTCGTCAACCACATTCGCTGCAAGTTCTTCAACCTGCCCAGGCTCTCGGGCAGCTCCTCCAAAGACTTCGCCTCGAGCTTCAGAACTTCCAACGACCCCAACTGCCCGAAACTTCCGGGCAGCGAGCTAAGAACCTCGGAATGGATTTCTAGATGTTCCAGACGCGTCAACTCGCCGATGCTCCACGGCAGACTCTCAAAGCAGCGGCTGCTCACAACCAGCTTCCTCATACAGCTTAACGATTCTAGGCTTATATCGGGTTCAATCAGTTTCGTGAACGTATCCAATCCGCGCCAGGCTGGGTCGTCCCCTAACTCGAGCACTTCTAGCTGGGAGAGGAGCGTGAGGGACGCGGGTAGCGCGGAGATCCCGCTGAGGGAGAACAGGCGGAGCTGCTGCAGGCGTGCGCACCCGCGGAAGAGCGCGGAGAGCCCCGCGGGGGAGAAGCGCGCGCGGAACTGGCACCCGATGAGCAGGCGCGTGAGATTGGGGCAGCGCGCTGAGATTCCGCGCAGGAGCTCGTCTGTCGCGTGCGGGACGGTGTTCTCCGCTATATCGAGTTGTGACAATGTCGGGAATGTACCTACGGCGGAGAGAAGCTGCGCGGAGTGCACGGCGCGCGGAACCTTGAGGTAGACGCGCGCAAGGCACGTGAGGCGGAACCAGCGCTTGCAGACGAAGGCGTGCGCGAGGGAGTTGCGGGAGAGATGCTGGAGGACCAATGAGAGCACGTCGTCGGGCAGACGGTCCAACGGGAATGCCGGATGCTGATTTGCCGAATGCCACGTAGACGCGAGACGATCCGACGGTGCATCTACACGGTGTGGGTGATGAAGAGTTCTTGAGACCGTCGGATCTCGCACTCGTTCCAAGCCGTCAATTCCTTGTAACACGGAACTCGAGGCGATCGCGACAGATGCCATCTGAGCACACTACAGTAAAAAACTTGCGATGGTTAAAGATCGTGAAGTCTTTGTGGCAGGCAGGATTCTAAGGACATGTCTTCAGCGAGCGAGACTCTTCTTCACCGCGGCCCCTCTGCTTCCCCTTTCTGCGTGAACCCTGCGCGAAAGTCCGCGCAATCTCTCGGCGGGAGGGGAATCTTTGTTCCAATCGTCGCGAGCGTTGTCGTGTGCCGAGTGACCAGTGCTCTGTGCCGTGCGGCGAAGGTTTTCGCGATATACGATGGCACTCACGAAAGCTTCTTTCTATACTCGTTAGTGCGAAGCTGGCTCGTTACTGATTTTCACACATCGAAACACACGACCAGTATGAACGCTGTAGTTCACGCCTTGATCTCATTTGAATGATTTGGAGTGAAATCAAGCACACATGGCATTTGAGGATAACACTGAGCAAGCAGTGCTAACATTGCAACGCGTGAAATGCCATGAATCACAACAACGGTTACATCACCACTAATGTACAATTGGACCATGTGCTTTTCCTGCAAATGCATTTCTTATTTATTTGCACGTGAATCAGTGGGATTGGTGATGGAACGGACCCACTTGGGCAACCTCATACTAATGTCACTCCAAACGGCAGACACCCATGGCACACCACTCTCAAAATGCACCTGCGGACACAATAAAACAATAACCAAACCTTCAATCAGCACCACAATATAAAATCAGTTCCCCACATAAAGCATGTTTCCATACGTGACGACATGCTAACTCACCAGCTGGTACCCATATGCGTGCAGCTCGTACTTGGGCGAGTACACGTGCACCCGTGTGGTAGCTCCAGATACGCGGCCGCACCAGAGCCCGATGCTTCCTTTCCTCCTGCTCCAGCGTCATCTCACACAACTCACACAAAGCATCTCAAGAGTGACAAGAACTCACCGGTTGGTACCCATCTGCGTGCAGCTCGTACTTGGGTGAGTACACGTGTACCCGCGTGGTGGCTCCCAAGGGCAGCACTGGCAGATCCGTGGCCGCACCCAAGCCCGATGCTTCCTTTCCTGGTGCTTCATGACCAGCAGTTGCCTGATGCTGGGCTGTTGCCTCATGTGAGGTGCTGGTGTCGCTGCTGATGTTGCTGCTGGTGTCGCAGCTGGTGCTGGCGCTAGTGTTGGCGTGAGGAGGGAGCGGGAGAGGGCCAGAGCCGGTTTCAGGGTGGTAGAGGGAGGTGAGGGGGAGGCGGTGGTGGGTCCATGCGAGGATGGAACCCCTGAGGTTGGCTGCGTCCATGCTGTGGTGAGATCGCAGCATGCGCGCGTAGTTGCCACTGCGATAGCCTATGGTGCTGGGAGGGAGAGACAAGAGGAGAGAAGTGGGAATAGGAGAGAGGAGGGAGAGAGGAGGGGAGGAGGGGAGAGAGGAGCGGAGAGAGGAGCAAAGGGTACTGGGGGCGGGTGAATGGAGCTCGTTAGGTTGGCTGTGTGCATGCTGTGGTGATGGAGGGTCAATAACTGCATAGTGCGAAGAACATATGGGCCACATCACCCCTTGCCTCTCAAACTCCTTCCACTCTAACGACCCGCACTTCTCCGAAGCTCCAGTACACCACCACGGACCCCCCTGTAACAGTCATCAACCCTCGACACCCCTCTGCATCCCTCGCCACCCCTCTGCATCCCACCTTCTCACCAGTAGCACACGACTTGGTGATCGCTGAATCGTCCCATCTGCCGCTCAAAGTCGCTCTGCTTCAGTGTGCCGCCCGGAATCATCGACACTGCCGCCTCCTCCTCTGTGCGCGTATCCACCACCACCACCCGCCGCCCACCCCGCCCACCCTCTCCCGCTCCCGCCACTTCCTCTGCTCCTCTCTCTCCACTCATGCCCCTTCCCCCCACTTCCCCTCTCCCCTCTTCCCCCCCAGCCCCTCCCCCATCCGCCTTCCCGTTCGTTCCCAACCCCTCTCCCCCACCCCCTGCCTGCTGGGCCAGCAGCAGTTGGTGCAGCTCAGTCACACTCATCTCGGGCACCTGGCGGGGGGATGGGGGGAGAACATGGGGAGAAAAGAGGGAGGGGGGAGAAAAGAGGGACGGGGGCGGGAAAAGAGGGAGGGGGGAGAAAAGAGGGAGGGGGGGGGAAAAGAGGGAGGGGGGAGAAAAGAGGGAGGGGGGAGAAAAGAGGGAGGGGGGAGAAAAGAGGGAGGGGGGGGGGGGGAAAGAGGGAGGGGGGAGAAAAGAGGGAGGGGGGGGGGGGAAAGAGGGAGGGGGGAGCTGGTGAGGAGGCGGCAGCAGCTGGTGCGGCTCAGTCACACTCATCTCAGGCACCTGGCGGAGAGAGAAGGAAGAACGGGGAGAGGGGGGAGAGGGAAATGGGGGGGAACAAGTGAGAGGGTAATTATAGCAGGCTGGTGCGGCTCAGTCACGACCATCTCAGTCACGACCATCTCAGGCACCAGGTGCAGGGACGAAACTTACGTCGTTCAACGTTTGAGGGCGCCTCAAAAGTCATCTCAGGCACCAGGTGCAGGGACGAAACTTACGTCATTCAACAACGTATCGTTCATCCGATCGGACACATCACAGAGCTTCTCCTTGTCACCCGGTTCAGCACTTACGTCTTTAAACAGCTTCTCCCGCATCCGATCGTACATCCCCTCTAGCTCATCCGTGTGAACCGGCTCAAAGGTTACCGTACGTATGTAAACAGCTTACGCCGATAAACAGCTTCTCTCTCATCCGATCGTACATCTCCCAAGGCTTATCTGTATGAACCGGCTTAAAGGTTACGTATTTGAACAGCTTACGTCTGTAAACAGTTTTTCCTTCATTCGATCGTACATCTCCCATAGCTTTTGCCGCCGCTGCTCCCCGCCCTGCTTCGGCGCTCCCTCGCCCGCCGCGACCGCTGCGACATCGGGCGAATCCTCGCACGCCATGCGACGCGTGTGACGTCGCACGGAGGGGGAACTCGCGTTAATGAAACGGGGGAGGACCGACGACAAAGGGAGGCGAAAGTGGTGGCGCGATGAGGAGGAGGAGGTGGGACGGGGTATGGGACGGTAGCAGTATCCTTGAGAGAGAGTTGGCGGCGCGGCGAGAACCACTGGCATGGCTGAACATGAACTGCACCGAAAAACTCATCGAGATTGCAACCCCTATCCGAAGTACCAAATTTGTGAATTCATACGCGTTACGTGGACATGTACAGGGGTTATACTGCACCTCTTTCCAGTCTGATAAAAATTGAAATAGCACATTGCCATGAGCTGTTATCTATCATGTTTCTACAAATGGATAAATGTTAATCTGAAGCAAACATCAGGAAGAGCACCATAGACAGCGTAAGGGTAAAAATAACTCTGTATTACTAGGACATTCCAGTATGGAGGCTAGTAGGCAAACTAGAGCAGCGTCAAGGCTAATTTAGACCAGACACGAGCCTTCTAGCAAATACACTCCATCCCCTCTATTGCTCATATCCGCCTTAAGACCCACCGCCACCAGGGTAACCGGCTCCCTCCCCATACCTCCCCCCGCCGTACCCACCACCTCCTCCCCCGTACCCACCGCCACCACCACCACCGCTGTACCTCCCTCCTCCACCCCCATACCCTCCGCCCCCATATCCCCCCCTGCCGCCTCCTCGGCCTCCCCCTCCTCCGCCACCCTCTGTCCTGTTGGAAGCATAGTCAACGCGCACTGTCCTTCCACTCAGCTCCTGCAGGGGTTAAGAGGCGACAAGGAGGGGTGGTGGGGGTGATTGGGAGTGAGTCAGTGTGTGTGTGGAAGAGAGGGGTTTGGGCCTCTCTTACTCTCTGTCCTGCTTCCCTCCTGCTTGAGGCATAGTCAATGCGCATTGTCCCTCCATTAAGCTCCTGCGTAGGCTGTTAAGAGGTGACAAGGTGCACTGGGGTAAAGGCGAGTTTGAGTGGGGGAAGAGTTGTGGTGGAAAGGGTTAAGAGGTGACAAGGAGTGGGAGGAGGGTGTGAAGAAGGCGGCGGAGGGTTTGGGGAGGGGAGAGGGTTTGCGGGGTTGGGGTTGATGGGGAGGATACATGGTGAGGGTGGGGGATAGTGTGCGTAACAAAGGAAGTTTAAAGCCTATCGAACACAATTTTGTTGGGGATCATCAAACCAAACTGAACTTTCACTTGGTGAAAATGGCGTTATAAGAGCCACTCCGTCAAAAAATTTGCGTCTGAAACGTCTACCAGGTGAAAGGTTTTGGAAAATTATTTCAAAATGGCTTTAACATTTGGCCTGCAAAAACTCGCCGATCTACTTCCCGCCAACATTGGATCACCATGCCCTTAGCCCCCTCCATCTCACCTTGCCCATAAACCCCCTTCTTGAAATTCCACGCCGTTATTCCTTACCCCCTCACCTTGCCCTGAATCCCCAACAACCAAGATGTTAGATTCCCTCCCCCTCTACCTTGCCGTTCACGCCTTCCCTCCTCACCTTGCCGTTACCCCCTCACCCCTCCAGCGCGCTGGCAGCTTCCTCGTCCGACGCGAAGCTCACAAATCCGAACCTTTCCCTTGATCCCCTCCGCCTCACCGGTTAGTGCCCACCTCCCACCTGCTGAAGCCTTACACCTCACCTTGCCGTTAACCCCCGGCTCACCTTGCCGTTGACGCCCGTCGCACCTTGCCGTTGACCCCCGGCTCACCTTGCCGTTGACGCCCGTCGCACCTTGCCGTTGACACCCGGTTCACCTTGCCGTTGACCCCCGTCTCACCTTGCCGTTGACGCCCTCCAGCGCGGTCGCAGCCTCCTCGTCCGATGCGAAGCTCACGAACCCGAACCCACGCGACCGACCCGTGAAGCGGTCCCGGATCACCTTGGCTGCAGATGTGAAAGTGAGGGGGAGGAGCGCGGGGGGGGGGGAGGAACGACGGGGAACGGGGACAAGGAGGTAAGATAAGAGACGGAGGACGGGGGAGGGGTATAAGCAGTGAGTTCGGCAACAGAATATAAATAAGTAGAAGAAAGGGAGCTGGGGTCACAGGGGGATAATAGCAGATGGTGGATGGCGGAGGAAGGATCGCGGAGAGCAGGGCGGAGAGCGGGGTGCGGAGGTAGGACGGCGGAAATGCAGCGGAGGGAGCGGGCGCACCTTCCTCTACGGTTCCGTAGGCAGAGAAAGCGTCCGCCAAGGCCTTCTCGTCGGCCTCCCACGCGAGCCCTGCTCAACCGATCGCACGGATCGCACGGATGGAATGAGAGACACACGCGTTGGGGTAAAGAGACCAATATGAAGCCACATACACGGAGCAAAAAACAGCATACACGCCAAGGGTAAACCATAAAAAATGCACGCGCATGTCTAACCAGTCGTGTTGACTCTCGGAACAAAAAATGAGTTGGATCCTACGCGTGACGGCAGGGAAGACGAGTGCGAGACGCGTGCGTTCACTGCCAGCAAGATGGCTCTCTCCTGCCGGATCTGACATGCGACGAACATAGCCCTCGCCGTCTGCCACGCGAATCATCGCTGGATCTCTGCATGCGACAGATCTAGGCTCGAAGTGACTTCTGAGTCGACTCAAAAGTGACCACGAATCATCCCGGGATCTGGACACGCGACAGATCTACACTCGAGACAAACGGCGTTGGCTTCAACGGATCCACGTGGCTGACGTAGAACGGAGTCGGGGACGGAAACAGGAAGAGAGAGACGCACCTCCGATAAGCTGCGTGTTCCCCACGAGCATCGGACGGTGTGACTCATCGGGAGATACATCCGTACCACGGTAGGTTTAACGGATCTAAAAAACGGATGGACCAGTGGGTGACGAAAGTAAGAACGAAAGCGGTAACGAAAGTGGTGGCGAAAGCGGTAACGCACCTCCGATGAAGAGCTTGTTGCCGGACATGAACCGCACGGCTTGCGTCATGGCGGCGGGGAGCAGCGATAAGTGCGGCTGCGGCGCGTGGAACGCGGCGAGCGCGTCATTGGCGCTGCCTTGTGTGACTGATCTCCTCAGCACGTTGCCGATCCCCCGAAGGAAAGCCATCGCGAATGGATGTCAGAAGTTAACTGAGTGAGTAGATCGTAACACGGTTGATGAAAATCGCTGCTTCAAGCCTTCAGCAAGAAACACAAGGCAGCAGAAGCACCGAAAACAAGTTACGGAAGTCCGAGCAGCTCAAAAGTGCTGGACGAAAAGCGAGCTAATTTCGCTCGAGCTTCAGGTTATATCAGCACGGCAGCACGAGGGTGAGGGAGAATCAGCTTCAGCCGCTCGCTGCTGCTGAGCAAGTATGGCTCCACAATCGGAGGTGAAAATATCAGCGGAGTGCAGTTGGTGGTTTTTATAGCTTGCGGTCGAAACGGCTTCTAACGAGTGGTAGTTCTCGTCGAAATGCACCAGCGATGCCGGGCGTTAGCTCAGGTTAGGTTCGGTTGAATAGCGACGAGCTGGCGGTACTGTGGAATCTTGAGTCTGGTGGTGAAATGCTCCGCGTGGATCACGTGTGTGGAAAAGCAAAAATATCTTCGTGGTCCACCACCACAAAATGCTAGTACACTGCAATGCCCCCATGGTTTACTTCTTTAGAGAATGTTCCACATGCAATTTCTGCATGGTTTACACCACATGATGCGAGGCTAAAACAATTTACTGCTACCATACCTGTCATTATTGAGGCTCAATGGACTAATAACTCAGCAGTATTACTTAACGGAACGGCAAAGCCTAGCGGCAACAATACTGCACTATTCTCTAGCAGATGCGCATCACTAGGAGAGGACCATCACTAACGTGTTAGGCAACACGCACGACAAAATAAATACTTGATCTCAGTAAGCCGATGCTCGTTTCCTTAGGCCTGGAATAAAGGCTGAAATCTCCTTCTCCAGGTCTTCTAAGCTCTGCTCCAGCTGCTCCTGGAAATCCCTATCCTCCTCAGTAACCGCCCTCCCATGCACCACCACCGCCCGCTTACACACCACCACAAACCGCACGATCGCAGACGTCAACATCTCCAATTCCGACGGCTGCAATTTCTCCGGATCCTTGGCCCTCGGATTAGCCCCCTGGGGATTCGCCTGGTAAAACGCCATGCACACTCCCAGCACACCGCTGTTCACCTGCAGCGCCACACTCCCCTGCAGTAACCGTTGCAGTGTTTGTAACCGCGGCAGCTGTAGCGGCCCCGAACCTGCTGCCATTGCCGCCGCTACAACCGCCGCCGGGTCCTTCTTCCCAGCCGGCCCTCCCGCCGCCCCTGCGGCCCCAGAATCCCCCAACTGGCTGGCCATTTCGGCCTCTAGCGCAAACGACCGCGACTCGATAATCTCCACAGCGCACTGGATCGGCGAGTACTCCCGAACCTCCGACCGAACCACCGGCTGCCGGCTAATCAGGCTCGGCAGCGTGCTCTGCGTGTACAGCAACGTTCGTCTCTTCCACTGATCCTCCATCTTCCCTTGCTGCTTTCCATTCGGCGTAAACGGCGTGTCAAAAAAGAAACAACTGAACGTCGGAGTGCCGGCAATCGGAGGCTCGAGAGATCTGCCGAGCCACCGATCCTCCCCCGCACCTACCACAGGTTCGACAGCGGTGATCTGCATGTAGACTAGGTTCGGCTTGAGGGCGGCAGGGTCCACCTGGCGCGAGTCCTGGATGATCTGAAGGGGCTCCTCATCGGGTGAGCGTGCATCGTAGAGCGCCTTGAGCTTCTCCATTATGTCTCCCAGCCGCACGTCCCTTGGCTCGCGATAGATGAACTCCCTGCCGGGGGGAAAGGGAGGGACGCGGAGAGCAGTGCGGGGAGAAGAGTAGGGAGGGGGATGGGCATGGGGGGCGTGCAGGCATGAAAAGGTGGCTCCTCGTCTTGAGGGCGGCTTGAGGGCGGCAGGGTCCACCTGGCGAGAGTCCTGGGTGATCTGAAGAGGCTCCTCGTCAGGTGAGCGCGCATCGTAGAGTGCTTTCAGCTTCTCCATTATGTCTCCCAGACGGACATCTCGAGGTTCTCGGTAGATGAACTCCCTGCAATGGAGGGCGGGACGGGGAGAGCAGTGCGGGGAGAGCAGGGAGGGGGATGAAAAGGTGGCTCCTCGTCTTGAGTGCGGCTTGAGGGCGGCAGGGTCCACCTGGCGAGAGTCCTGGATGATTTGAAGGGGCTCCTCGTCAGGCGAGCGCGCATCGTAGAGTGCTTTCAGCTTCTCCATTATGTCTCCCAGACGGACATCTCGAGGTTCTCGGTAGATGAACTCCCTGCAATGGAGGGCGGGACGGGGAGAGCAGTGCGGGGAGAGCAGGGAGGGGGATGAAAAGGTGGCTCCTCGTCTTGAGTGCGGCTTGAGGGCGGCAGGGTCCACCTGGCGAGAGTCCTGGATGATTTGAAGGGGCTCCTCGTCAGGCGAGCGCGCATCGTACAGCGCTTTCAGCTTCTCCATTATGTCTCCCAGACGCACGTCTCGTGGCTCTCGATAGATGAACTCCCTGCAATGGACAGGGAAAATGGAGAGCAGGGAAAGGGTGGGCATGGGGGTAGTGCAGGTATAGAAACAGGAGGTGAGGAGGTGGAGAGGGGCTCCTCGTCGGGCGAGCGCGCATCGTAGAGCGCCTTGAGCTTCTCCATTTTGTAGGAGAGGAAGGAGGAGGGCATGAAGGAGTGCAGGTATGAGAAGGGAGCTCTCAGTCGTGAGCGCAGTAGAGCGCCTTAAGCTTCCCCATTATGTCTCTCAGACGGACGTCCCTTGGCTCTGGATAGATGAACTCCCTGCAGTGGACGGCGGGGAAGGGGCAGGCAGAGAAAAGTGCAGGCATGGGAAGAGGAAGAGGTGGGGCGGGGGAAGAGGGCTTCGTGTTGGTACAGCGAGCACCTTGAGCTTTTCCATTTTGTCACCTCATCATGGAGAGGAAAGAGTGAGAAAGGCAGGAGCTGATGCAGGAAATGAAACAGCATGGGAAGGGCGTGAAAAGGCTCGCCATGTGTTGACAGACCGCTCACCTGCCATCGATGTATCGGAAGCGTTCCCCATAGAAGCCGACTCGATAGTAGCAGGCGTCCTTGAAGGGGATGGGGCTCGTCTCCTGCTGCTCCACGTTCTCATATATAGACGCGATCTTGTTGTGTGTCTTGGTCAGCTGCGATGGGAGAGGGTGTGAGGGGGAGGGGGGTTCAGTTCAGGGACCAAGTTGAGGTTGTGCTATCAGAGTTGAGCCCACTGTGACCAGTACAACCCTGCTCTCCTGCTGCTCCACGTTCTCATATTCAGATGCCATCTTGTTGTGCATCTTGGTCAGCTGGGAGGTCGTGGAAGGGGAGAAGGGTGAGAGGAAGGTACAAGTCCAGGTAAATATGAGCTCTACTCTCCTGCTGCTCCACCTTCTCATATTCAGATGCCATCATGTTGTGCATCTTTCTCAGCTGGCTGGGAGAAGAATATGAGACACCCACCTTCTTGCCCAACCGCTCCCCCCTCTCTCCAACACACGCACCTGCTTCTAGTCGTGGCGGGAGCGGTGCAGCGGCATTCCCTCCTCTCTTCCCCACCCACCCCCAACCCAAGGCACGCACCTGCTTGTAGTCGTGGCGGGAGCGGTGCAGTGGCATTCCCTCCTCTCTTCCCCACCCACCCCCAACCCAAGGCACGCACCTGCTTGTAGTCGTGGCGGGAGCGGTGCAGCGGCAGCAGCAGCGAGAGCATGAGAGCGCAGAAGTGGAAGAGCTCCGCCTTGTAGAACAGGTTGCTCGCCCGCACAACGTGCTGCACCGCCCCCTCCACCGTCACCCGCGCCGCCCCAAACCCGGATTGGGACGAGAAGGCTCGCGCGCGCCACTGGTGGCGGGCCAAAGGGCAGATGCTCCAGAGCACCTCCAGATGCTCCTCGTCCCATACCGGCTCCTCTGATGCGATTTGGAGACCCTGGAAGGACGCATATAGAGGGGGAGTATTGGTGTGAGTGTGGCTCGCGCGCGCCACTGGTGGCGGGCCAAGGGGCAGATGCTCCAGAGGACTTCAAGGTGCTCCTCGTCCCACACTGGTTCCTCCGACGCGATTTGCAACCCCTGGAAGGACGAGAAGGGAGGGGTGAGAGGAGGAGTATTGGTGTGAGTGTGTGAGTGCGAGTGCCACTGGCGGCGGGCTAAAGGGCAGATGCTCCAGAGCACTTCCAGGTGCTCCTCGTCCCTCACAGGTTCCTCCGACGCGATTTGCAACCCCTGAAACGACGACAAGGAGGCGGGTTTGGAAGGGGAAACAGAGAGTAAGAGGGGACGCTACGCTCGTAGCTGAATGAGCAACTACCACACCTCCCTCAGCGCAGGCCGGAAGAAGAGCACTTGTCCCTCACCCTCAACAGCAAACACTCATCTCTGCACCTCAGCCCTGAACCCTAAACCCTCAACTCCAACAGCAAACACCCACCTTGGAACCCCTGCAGCAGTGAAATCCTGACCCCTGACCCCTCAACCCCAGCAGGCAGCATCCCTGGGGCCTTGGGCTTACCCGAATGACAATGCCAGCAACAGACACAGCACATTGAGCGGCCTCGGCCCACTGGTTCATCTCCTGGTGCGCGTCACACAGGTGCAACATCCACATGATGTAGAGGTCGGGCACGTGCCCGTATGCCTGTGCCAGGATGTAGTAGCTCTCCACTATGGCGTACTTGTCATTGGATGTCTTCAGTCCCTCCATCTGCGAGGAATGAGATGAGAGGGTGGGCAGGGCGGAATATGGGGAAGGATCAGGGTATGGGTTGAGTTGATGCAACATCCACATGATGTGCAGGTCGGGCTCGTGCCCATATGCTTGTGCAAGAATGTAGTAGCTCTCCACAATTGCATACTTGTCGTTGGATGTTTTCAGCCCCTCCATCTGCGAGTGAAAAGGGAGGGCATAACGGAGTGAAGGGGGAAAGATGGGAAGGCCTTGCGATCAGGCATGTGCCCTGTTGAACAGCAGTGCACCATGGGCAACCATGCAACATGGGCAACCATGCAACATGGGCAACCATGCAACATGGGCCACCACGCAACATGGGCAACCATGCAACATGGGCAACCATGCAACATGGGCAACCATGCACCATGGGCAACCATGCAACATGGGCAACCATGCAACATGGGCAACCATGCAACATGGGCAACCATGCAACATGGGCAACCATGCAACATGGGCCACCACGCAACATGGGCAACCATGCAACATGGGCAACCATGCAACATGGGCAACCATGCAACATGGGCAACCATGCAACATGGGCAACCATGCAACATGGGCAACCATGCAACATGGGCAACCATGCAACATGGGCAACCATGCAAGGTGGGCAAAAAACAAGACCTACCAATTGCTCATGCTGTGATGCGGCATCCACCACAGTAGGCAGCATGTCCTGAATTCACTACTGGTGCAAAAAGACGACTTCAGATTTGAACCAGAATTCAAGACTCACCAGTTGCTCGTGCTGTGATGCCGCATCCACCACGGTGAGCAGCATATCTTGAGTCTCCTCCACATTCGCCCACGTCCACCTGTCCCTCTCCCTCTTCCGCCTCCTCCCCACCATCACACTCCCCCCTTCATCCCACTCCTCATACTCCTCCTCCTCGTCCTCCTCCTCCTCCTCCTCCTCCTCCTCCTTCTCCTCGTCCTCCTCCACCACAATCTCAAGGCAGATCGACGGCAACCCACACTCATCCAGCAACTGAAACCACTTATCCTCCGTCCCCAGCTCTTCCAAAGAAAGCCTCAGTTTCTCAACCTCTGCGGATTCTACCAGTTCCCCAGCCCCTCCCCCCCCACCAGCAGCAGCAGAAGCGATGCTAGAAGCGCTGGAGGAGCGAGAGGCAGGGGCGTTGGAGGGCGAGGGCGCGTGCAGGAGGCGCATGTGGGAGAGGACCTCTGAGAGAGCGACTGTGAGAATGACTCGAAGCCGTTCCACGTCCTTCATGTGCAGCAGGGCGTTCTGTGGAGAACCAGAATGGGGGCGGTTGGAGGGAATTGTGCACAAGGGGGAGTAGTTGAGAGGGCGAGGGCGAGTGCAGGAGGCGCATGCGGGAGAGGACTTCCGAGAGAGCGACTGTGAGGATGACTCTCAGGCGCTCCACGTCCTTCATGTGTAGCAGGGCGTTCTGTGTGCGGGAGGATGTGGGATGGGCGGGGGGGAGGAGGGGGCACGAGAGGAAGCAGCACAGAGAGGGCGACTGTGAGGATTACTCGAAAGCGCTCCACGTCCTTCATGTGTAGCAGGGTGTTCTGCGTGGGAGGAAGTGAGGAAAGGGGGGAAAGGTAGAGAAGGGGGAGGGGGGGGACGGGAAAAGACAGAACATATATTTTTTCCTGATGAACTAGGGGGTGACACACACGCCTTCCACATCGAGGATTGCTCCTTGCGCATTCTTCAAAAGCAGATGAGCATCCAAACGAAATTTCAACAAAACTTTGTCTGGAAACATAAAGAAAACCGGCCCAGGAATACCCACGCGAAGAAGCAGCAGCAGGCAGAGCAGGGCTCTCTTTCTGATGAACTCAGGGCGGAGGGCCATCTGGCGCAGCAGGCTGCCAAAGAGGCCCTTGAGTAAGACATCGCCCCCCTTCGCTGCCACCCCGCCACCCGCACCAATCCCCGCCCCTACATCCGTGCTGTCAGCCGCGGCAGCAGCGGGCGGGCCGTCGAGCATGGCCTTTCCGTGCAGGCGCAGCATTTCAGCGAAGGCTGGCACGAAGGGCTCCCAGAAACTCATGGGCTGGAGGAGAGGGGGAGATGGGCGGACGGGGGAAGGGAAGAAGCGATATCAGGGGGGGCAGAGAGGAACGAGAGGGCAGCAGCGGGCGGGCCGTCGAGCATGGCCTTTCCGTGCAGGCGCAGCATTTCAGCGAAGGCTGGCACGAAGGGCTCCCAGAAACTCATGGGCTGGAGGAGAGGGGGAGACGGGCGGACGGGGGAAGGGAAGAAGCGATATCAGGGGGGGCAGAGAGGAACGAGAGGGCAGCAGCGGGCGGGCCGTCGAGCATGGCCTTTCCGTGCAAGCGCAGCATTTCAGCGAAGGCTGGCACGAAGGGCTCCCAGAAACTCATGGGCTGGAGGAGAGGGGGAGACGGGCGGACGGGGGAAGGGAAGAAGCGATATCAGGGGGGGCAGAGAGGAACGAGAGGGCAGCAGCAGGCCGTCGAGCATGGCCTTTCCGTGCAGGCGCAGCATTTCAGCGAAGGCCGGAACGAAGGGCTCCCAGAAGCTCATGGGCTGGAAGGGGGCGGGGCTGGGGAGGGGCGGATGGGGGAAGGGAATGGGCGAGAGCAAGGGGGCAGAAGGGCATGAGAGAGAGAAGGGGCCATCCAGCATGGGCTTGCCATGGAGACGAAGCATTTCAGCCAAGGTGGGGACCAAGGGCTCCCAGACGCTCATGGGCTGGAGAGAGGGCGGATGAGACAGCACCTATGTGTCAGACACATGAAGGCTCGGTTTAAACACAGCGGCTAGGGCGAGTGAGTCAACGGGTGTAAGAGCATGAAGCAGCACACCCACCCACCCCATTGCTGCAAGGCAAGCATGGCATGACACACCCACTTTTTGTGTGGGTGTGAAACAAGCACAGCCACCTGCGGCAGGGCGAGCATGAGGGAGAGAGGCCCAGTGAGGCAGTCCATGGTCTGATAGTCGGTGGTGAGGTGGTTGGTGGTGCATGTGAGCGTTCATTTAAATCATGACTTGTGATTGTGCTTGTGTGTGTCGTTCTGCGCTCGTTCTACCCACCTGTGGCAGGGCGAGCATGACGGAGAGAGGCCCAGTGAGGCAGTCCATTGTCTGGTCTGGTAGTCGGTGACATCTGTGAGTGTGACTGTAATGTGTGATGCTGTAGATGCTGTGTGATCGTGGATGTGGGTGTGTGGGCGTGCATGGAGTGTGCATTGGGTGTAAGAGCATGCAGTGCACACCCACCCACCTGCGGCAGGGCGAGCATGACGGACAGGGGCCCAGTGAGGCAGTCCTTGGTCTGATAGTCGGTGGCAACAGTGTGTGCGATTATAAAGGTCATGTTTGGTGTGTGATAGTGTGGTGTATTGGGTGTACGGACACACAGCAGCAGCGCACCCACCTGCGGCAGTGCGAGCATGACCGACAGGGGCCCAGTGAGGCAGTCCATGGTCTGATAGTCGGTGGCAACGAGTCCATCAGCCGCCATGTCGCTAAACTTCTCCACCACCTCCAACACCTGCACTGCACACCATGCTGCCACACTTGCTTCCCATGTTAGCTGATCATGGGGTGGGGGAAGAGGGGGAGAGGGGGGGGAGGGGGAAGGGGGAATGGGGCGAGGGGAACTTGTCTTCTCCACCACCTCCAGCACCTGCACCGCACACCATGCTGCCACGCTGGACTCCCATATCAGCTCGTGGGAAGGGGGCCAGGTGAATGGGGATAGGGGAGACGGGGACAGAGTAGGGGATGAATTGAGACCGTGAGACGGGAACGTGATGGCACAGCATGCCCAATTCCTCCCCCACACGGCCATAGCTTCTTCATACAACCGACTCCCTTTCCCCCGCCACCCACCCTACCCGACCCCACCCACACTCACCAGCTTTCCAGAAGCGCTGGGCGGCAGGTTTTGTCTCATCAGCGCCATGGCATCTTTGGGCGGTATTCTCGACCGCGCGAGCACATCCCTGAGCGACACCGCCGACCCCTTGCCGCCCGACACGGCGCCGCCCGTGACCTTTCGGATTATCTGCTCCTTCTCCAGCATGGCCTTGGGATCTGCCCGGGCCATCTCGTCCAGCTGGTCATTGGTTGCCAGGGAGACTCGGTCCGAGTACATTGGGATTGGTGGAGGCTCCACTGCCAGCGTGGCGTCGGCGGGTGCTGACGTGGCGGGGCTGGATTTGGTGGTGGTGGGGCGGGGCTTGCTGCCAGCTGTCAGCTGTGGGTTGTGCTGGAATGGATTAGGGTGAGTGGGTGTGGGAGAGGGGAGGGGGAAAGCGGGGGGGAGGTGTGGTGGGTTAAGGGGTGTAGGAGTGGAGAGAAGGGGGATAGAAAGAGGTGTGTGAGGGAATGGGGGGGGAGACTTGAAGCTTCTCAGCATCTGTATCCAAAGAATCTGAAAGGTCACAAATCAAGCACCTGACGAAACACCTGAAGCAGCACCTGAGAAAGCACCTGAAAAACCACATAGGAACCCACCTGGAAGAGCACGAGGGCTTGCTGCAGTAGGGTGAAGAAGAGGCGAGTCCGCACGTCGCTCTGCTTCCACGCCTTGAGTAGCGTCTCACTGTCCAGGTTGCGCACGACTGTGAGCATCACCACCAGGATCTGCCTCCTCTGAATGACCCCTAGCGTGTGGAACGTCTCGACCTCGTCGAGGATCATGTTGACGATGGGCATGTAGAGCTGCGCGATGTACAGCTTCAGCTCCGGCTGCTGGTACCGCGCATCGTACTCGTGCTTCGCCACCTGGAAGGCCAGCATGCGCGCAGCCTGAGGGCAGCGTGTGGGGGGTGTTGGAGATTGCATTGAGACAGATGACCTCCAGAGCACGCATTTGATGCAGGGCATGCATTCAAGAGTGTGCGTTCAAGAGTGTGCAAAGCAGGATGCATGCCATTAGCATGTAAGGGCGTACCAGCGATCGCTGACTGGGGTCCTCGTGGTCGAGGCTCACAAAAAGGTCCTTGAGCAGCACTGTGGTCAGGTAGTTCCTGGTGTGGTGATGAGCGGTGATGAGTGGTGATGAGGGGTGATGAGGGGTCATGGTTGGAGGAAGTGCAGGACTTATTAGAGGCCAGGCCACCAGAGAGCACGGAGAGAAAGGCGGCAGCAATGGGAAACAGCAGAATGGGGTACTTGCAAAATGCATTGCATCTCGGCTCAGAACCCTAAAACCCAAACTCGAGACTCTTGCACCGTACTTCTCACAACACAAGGCATTCCAGGACTTACTTCTCGGTGGGACCTCTGCCGGGTGTCTCGATGTAGAGATCATGATCGCAGACGATGCGGAGGAAGTGCAGCTTGAACATGTGCTGCATGGGGGGACACACGCCCACGAACTGCGAGAGGAAGAGGCCCACCTGTAGAGAAGGCAAGGGGCAAACGGGGTGGGGAAGGGGGGGAAGGGGTAAGGGGAAGGAGAGAACAGTAAGTGCAGGTTGAACATGTGCTGCATGGGGGGGCAGACGCCCATGAACTGGGAGAGAAACAGAACCACCTGTGATGGGGAGGGGGTGACGGAAGGAAGGGCGGTGGGGGAAAAGGGGAGGGAGGAAGTGCAGGTTGAACATGTGCTGCATGGGGGGACACACACGCCCACGAACTGCGGGAGGAACTGACCGAACTGTCATGGGGAGGGAAGTATACATGGGCAAATGACGAGTCGAGATTCACTCGGCTCGCTTTAACGAGTATTTTTTTTTGTACACCGAGTCGAGTCGAGTTATTTTGGCTCAGGCTCCACTCGAAACTTGACCATATGGACGAGTTTTTTTTAACTAGATCAGCGGGGATCTGGCGCTGAAATGTCAGGTAATACAAAACGAGATTTTATTTTGAACATTTGGACCCCCCTTCTGGTGGTCAAATGTCTCGCGAGTTTGTCAAAACTTGCCAGGTTTGACGTGCAGGTTTGAGGTGCAGGTTTGAGGTGCAGGTTTGACGTGCAGGTTTGAGGTGCAGGTTTGAGGTGCGGGTTTGAGGTGCAGGTTTGAGGTGCAGGTTTGAGGTGCAGGTTTGAGGTGCAGGTTTGAGGTGCAGGTTTGAGGTGCAGGTTTGAGGTGCAGGTTTGAGGTGCAGGTTTGAGGTGCAGGTTTGAGGTGCAGGTTTGACGTGCAGGTTTGAGGTGCAGGTTTGACGTGCAGGTTTGACGTGCAGGTTTGAGGTGCAGGTTTGAGGTGCAGGTTTGAGGTGCAGGTTTGAGGTGCAGGTTTGACGTGCAGGTTTGAGGTGCAGGGTTGAGGTGCAGGTTTGAGGTGCAGATTTGAGGTGCAGGTTTGAGGTGCAGGTTTGAGGTGCAGGTTTGAGGTGCAGGTTTGAGGTGCAGGTTTGAGGTGCGGGTTTGAGGTGCAGGTTTGAGGTGCGGGTTTGACGTGCAGGTTTGAGGTGCAGGTTTGAGGTGCAGGTTTGAGGTGCAGGTTTGAGGTGCAGGTTTGAGGTGCAGGTTTGACGTGCAGGTTTGAGGTGCAGGTTTGAGGTGCGGGTTTGAGGTGCAGGTTTGAGGTGCAGGTTTGAGGTGCAGGTTTGAGGTGCAGGTTTGAGGTGCAGGTTTGAGGTGCAGGTTTGAGGTGCAGGTTTGAGGTGCAGGTTTGACGTGCAGGTTTGAGGTGCAGGTTTGACGTGCAGGTTTGACGTGCAGGTTTGAGGTGCAGGTTTGAGGTGCAGGTTTGACGTGCAGGTTTGAGGTGCAGGTTTGACGTGCAGGTTTGAGGTGCAGGGTTGAGGTGCAGGTTTGAGGTGCAGATTTGAGGTGCAGGTTTGAGGTGCAGGTTTGAGGTGCAGGTTTGAGGTGCAGGTTTGAGGTGCAGGTTTGAGGTGCGGGTTTGAGGTGCAGGTTTGAGGTGCAGGTTTGAGGTGCAGGTTTGAGGTGCAGGTTTGAGGTGCAGGTTTGAGGTGCAGGTTTGAGGTGCAGGTTTGACGTGCAGGTTTGACGTGCAGGTTTGAGGTGCAGGTTTGACGTGCAGGTTTGAGGTGCAGGTTTGACGTGCAGGTTTGAGGTGCAGGTTTGACGTGCAGGTTTGAGGTGCAGGTTTGAGGTGCATGTTTGACGTGCAGGTTTGAGGTGCAGGTTTGACGTGCAGGTTTGACGTGCAGGTTTGACGTGCAGGTTTGAGGTGCAGGTTTGACGTGCAGGTTTGATGTGCAGATTTGACGTGCAGGTTTGAGGTGCAGGTTTGAGGTGCAGGTTTGAGGTGCAGGTTTGAGGTGCGGGTTTGAGGTGCAGGTTTGAGGTGCAGGTTTGAGGTGCAGGTTTGAGGTGCAGGTTTGAGGTGCAGATTTGAGGTGCAGGTTTGAGGTGCAGGTTTGAGGTGCAGGTTTGACGTGCAGATAGAGATAGAGGAGCCGGCTTGACCTATGCGTTGAGTTGGGAGAGTCAAGATTCGTGGGGGTCAGCTCACCAGCTCAAACACTTGTGGCGGGTCAACAACAGAGATGAGGTCGTAGCAGAAGGAGATGGAGGAGCTGAGGCTCTTTGCTGTGAGTCAATGTTCTTAATTTGACTTCAAAGACACACTCTTCAGGGGGGGAGGGGGCGGGCGGAGGGGTAAAGTGCTCCTCCTCACCAGTTCAAACACTTGCGGCGGAGATGAGGTCATAGCAGAAGGAGATGGAGGAGCTGAGGCTCCTGGCTATGAGCCAATGTTCTCGAGTTGACTCAGAAAACACTAAGTGAAGGCGGGGACCGGAGGGATGAAGGCTGCTCACCAACTCAAAGACTTGTGGTGGGTCGACAACGGATATGAGGTCGTAGCAGAAGAAGGAGATGGAGGAGCTGAGGCTCTTGGCTGTGAGCCAATGTTCTCAAGTTGGTTCATGAAATAGCTGCGCTTCAGGGAAGAGGCCTCACCAGTTCAAACACTTGCGGTGGATCCACAACGGAGATGAGGTCGTAGCAGAAGAAGGAGATGGAGGAGCTGAGGCTCTTGGCCAGGGGCGGGTCTGACACCGCCTTCTCGTGCACCTCGGCCAGCAGGCACTCAAAGAGCTGCCGGATGCACAGAAACACCTCGTCCTCTAGCCTTAGACGCGCGATCTCATCCCCTGTGTGGAGGAAGTGGAGAAAAGGAAGGGGTGTGGGGAAAGGAGGGAGTGGTGGGCATCAGCTTAGTGATGCACCTCGGCCAGCAGGCACTCAAAGAGCTGCCGGATGCACAGAAACACCTCGTCCTCTAGCCTTAGCCGCGCGATCTCGTCCCCTGGTGGTGTTATGTCCGGGGGAGGAAAGGCGGGATTGGGGGGGGGGAACGGTGGAGGATTAGAGGTGGCGGAGGGGATAGGTGAAACGAGAGCATTCACATTCATCCCGGCCAGCAGGCACACAAAGAGCTGCCGGATGCTCAGAAGAACTGTGCCCTCCAGCCTCAGGTGAGGATTTTTTTCCCTGGTCCATGGGGTATAAGCTCTTGAGAGTCGTCAAAGGTGATGGTCAGCTCAAAACAGAAGCACGCCGTCTGCTCTGCAGTGCGGACTGAACAACGACCTGCTACCTCATCATACCATATCTAAACTTTCTCAGTGTACCGCATCATATCGCATCGCACCTTGCGGCACCTGGGCCAAGTCCAGGTCAATGGATTTGACAATGAGCTCCAGCACAAACCACGCCATCTGCTCTGCAGCGAGGACTGCATAATCACCTGCTTCCTTCCCGTATAGTATCCAGTTAAAACCACATTGCATCGCATCGCACCTTGCGGCACCTGAGCCAGCTCCAGGTCCATGGACTTGACAATGAGCTCCAGCACAAACCACGCCATCTGCAGCGCCTCCGCATACACGGGCCCCACTCGGAACCCTCGCGACTGGGGGGCATGGGGAGCAGAGCGTGGGGAGTGGTTGGGGGGGAGAAGGGGAAACCAAGAAGCACGTGAGAGCGAGAAGCACAATCCACGCCCTTTGCAGCGCCTCCGCATACATGGGCCCCACTCGGAACCCTCTCGACTGGAATGGAAGGTACAGGGAGCAGAGCATGGGGAGCGGGCACGGTGTTGGGGGTGGAGTGGGGGGGGAGAGAGGGGAGGAGCAGGCGATGTGTTGTTATGTCACGCGCCTCAGAATACCCCGGATCCGATCAAAACCCCGCAAGACTGGAGAACATACCCCACTGTTCACAAATTTACCTTGCTGCGTGCGAGACTGCGCCACACGTTGCTGAGCCCGAGGTACACGGGCGGCTGGTTGCGACCAAGCTTTGCCTCTCACCCCTCCCCCATTCCCCTCCTCCCACACGCACACACACATCCCAGTGGCACACGCACCTTGCTGCGCGCAAGGCTGCGCCACACGTTGCTGAGACCCGGGTACACGGGCGGCTGGTTGCGACCGAGATCGTCAAATATGAAGTCGACAAAGTGCACGAGGAAGCGACTGCGCTCCATGGGGGCTGAGCCCGCCTGCGGTGCCAACTCCAGCTGCACTCTGCTCGCAAGGCAAGGACAGTGGGGAGACGAGAGACACGGGCAGGGGTGGGGGAGGGGAAGAGGAAAAGATGAAGTCGACAAAGTGCACGAGGAAGCGACTGCGCTCCATGGGGGCTGCACCGGTCTGCGGTGCTAGCTCCAGCTGCACTCTGCTTGGTGGGGCGGGGAGGAGGGAGCACACACACACACACACACATAGGTTGGTTGCGACCGAGGTCGTCAAAGATGAAGTCGACAAAGTGCACGAGGAAGCGACTGCGCTCCATGGGGGCTGCACCTGCCTGTGGTGCTAGCTCCAGCTGCACTCTGCTCGCAGGGGAGGGGGGTGTGGAGGGTGCGACGAGGGTGCAACGGGGGGGGGGGGAGAGCCAAAGATGAAGCCCTTACAGTGCGTAAGGAAGCAACTCCGCTCCATGGGGGCTGCTACCTGCGGTGCCACCTCCACCTCCAGCTGCAGTGATGCGGAGGAGGGGGGCACACCTAGCCTAGGCACGCTACCCAGGAGAAGGAGAAAGAAAGAAAGGAGGGACGATGCTGATCATGGCTCGACAGGCGGCAGGAGAGATGGGCGAGAGATGGGCGCGAGAGATGGGCGCGAGAGAGAAAGGGGGGACCGTTTTTACATGCGCACGCGCACCCACCCAGGAGAAGGAGAAAGCAGCCCCACCTGGAGACGATGTTGACCATGGCTCGAAAGGCGGCCACCTGCAGCGTCTCCACCCCGTTCCCGATCATGCAGAGCAGCATGTTGAGCAGCGGGTAGAGGAACTGCATGAGCACCACCACGTCCACCGTCTTGAGCGCATTGATTGCCTCCAGGAGGTCCTCTCGGGGCAGAGGCGCCTCCAGCATGTGGCGGTCGAACTGGTGGAAGAAGTCGCGCAGGCGGTCGGAGAGCGGGAGGAGCGAGGAGAAGAGGCGAGTGCGAACACGGAAGATGGGGCGGCCCTCCTCCCAGTAGGTCAACCGCGACTGGTGGGGGGTGTGGGGGAAAGAGGAGCAGGTGATTCGGGTGGTTTGGGCAAGGGGGAGTGGGGTGGAGAGGGAGAGGAAAGAGGCGCCTCCAGGAGGTCCTCTCTTGGCAGGGGCGCCTCCAGCATGTGGCGGTCGAACTGGTGGAAGAAGTCCCTCAGGCGGTCGGAGAGGGGCAGGAGCGAGGAGAAGAGCCGCGTGAGCACGCGGAAGATGGGGCGCCCTTCCTCCCAGTAGGTCAGGCGCGACTGGTGGAGGGTGAGGGGGGGGAGGAGAGGAAGGGGAGGGGAGGAGATGAAGAAGAGCAGGTGGTTTGGGTAAAAAGGTGGGGAAAGGAGGGACCTCCAGGAGGTCCTCTCTGGGCAGGGGTGTCTCCAGCATGTGGCGGTCGAACTGGTGGAAGAAGTCCCTCAGGCGGTCGGAGAGAGGCAGGAGCGAGGAGAAGAGGCGAGTGCGCACGCGGAAGATGGGGCGCCCTTCCTCCCAGTAGGTCAGGCGAGACTGGTAGAGGGTGAGGGGAGAGGGGCGGGAGAGGAGGTGGTTTCAAGTAGGCTTGAGCAAAATCGCGAACCCCCATTCGGTTCGTCTCAAACGTGTTCGTGACGAACTGAACGGGGCTTTTTTTTTGTTGGCCGAAAACGTTTGTGACGAACGTGCTCGCGATGTTCGTCGCGTTCGCGAGAAATAGGACAAACTCGAACGGGTTCGAGAGAAATAGGGCAAACGCGAACGCGTTCGCGAGAAATAGGACAAACTCGAACGCGTTCGCGAGAAATAGGACAAACTCGAACGCGTTCGCGAGAAATAGGACAAACTCGAACGGGTTCGCGAGAAATAGGGCAAACGCGAACGCGTTCGCCAGTAAAACGGGTTTGCCGTGAACCATCGTGCCATTTTTTAACAAACTCGTCATTTGAGCTCATTTTTTAGCTCAAATCAGCAGATACATCGCATCATTTTTTACTCTAAGACATACGGGAGTTTAGAGCGTTTCGCCCTCGTTTCGGCGGTGTAGGATGGCAACCAAACCCGAACAGGTTCGAGTTGGCCTCAAACGTCTAAGGTGTTTGTGGCAAACCCTAAGTGTTCGCCTGTGACCACGAACACACGAACGCCTATTTCAGGAAATTGGTTCGTGGCAAACCGTTCGGGTTCGGTTCGCCAACCTAAGGTGCTCGTTGAGGTTCGTGGCAAACACGTTCGTGTTCGCCATTTGCTCATGTCTGGTTTCAAGGGAAAGAAACCAGGAAGGAGAGGAGGAGGAGGAGGAGAGTGGGGGCATGAGCACGACCACATCCACGGTCTTGAGCGCGTTGATGGCCTCTGAAAGGTCCTCGCATCGCAGGGCACAGGTGCCTCTCCTGAAAAGCATGTGATGTGCGCCTCAGCCGTGAAGCACCTCTGCCCCACTGTGTGGAGAAAAAATCTCAGTGGTTTGGAAAGGCAGGAGGAGCATGGAACACATAAGAAGGCGCTCCTCCCAGTACGTCAGATGCACATCACATGCAATGCTACCAGCATGCACAAACGCAATGAAGCAGTCATCTGTGCCTCACCTTTGTGCTCTCCTGCAGGTAGCGCGGCTGCAGGTCCTTGGATATGGGCAGATTCACTCACAGTCAAAGGAGATGGGTAGATTCAGGTTGCAACACGCGAACCACATGCTACCACCATAGAAAGCGCAATGAAGCAGCCCTCCTTCACTCACCTTGGTGCTCTCCTGCAGGTAGCGCGGCTGCAGGTCCTTGGATATGGGCAGATTCACCTCCGCCTTGAACGCTCTGCCACACAAGCATGGCAGATGAGACGCGGGGCAACGCATGGCAGACGTTTAGCGCCTTAGGATTGTTAAGGATCCAAAGGAATGTGCATGAGATTACAGTGGTGGTTTTGCGAAGCGAAGCAGGGCAAGGGGAACGTACTGTAGAGCAGCAGCAAGAGGCATGACTGCATAACCTACTGCCACCTGCACATAGAACAGGAAAAGTAGACACAGATCGGAAGAGAGAATTGAAGTGGGGACTCAAAAGTGATCCCCATATTTGAAAGTGAAGAGTCCCCAGATTGATATAAACGAGAGAAGGTGAAGAGCAGGTGATGCGAGGGCGATAGAGGGCAGCTGCATCTCCACTTCATACGAAGCTTACCCCATGCTCCGTGCACGCGCTCACCAGTTTGCGTCAGTAAATGTTGGTGAGCCGCTCGCTCTCTCTCTGTACCCCTGACAAGCTTATCGGTGAAGAGCAAATGGTGCGAGGGCGACACAGCAGCCGGCAGCTGCAACTCCGATCTATAGCCCCCTTACAAGCCTTACCAGTACCCCTTACAGCCATGACTCGCTTTTTGAGTCGACTCAAAAAGCTGCAGCTCCGATCTATAGCCCCCTTAGAAGCCTTACCAGTACCCCTTACAGCCATGACTCACTTTTTGAGTCGACTCAAAAAGCTGCAACTCCGATCCATAGCCCCCGTACAAACCTTACATGTACCCCTTACAGCCATGACCTCATCCCCTGCCCAATGTAACCCTCGCCGGCTTGGGTCGTTCGGAGCGCAGGGAGAGGTCGATGTGGAAGAAGGTGAAGAGCAGATGGTGGGAGGGCGACACAGAGGCTGGCAGCTCAGTCCTCTCTTCTCTTCTGTACCCGTCACAAGCTTGCCGCGTACCCCTAACAAGCTTCGCCACTACCAGTATAATTACAAGCCCCCACTCACCGGCTTGGGCCGTTCGGAGCGCAGGGAGAGGTCGATGTGGAAGAAGGTGAAGAGCAGATGGTGTGCGGGCGACACAGAGGCTGGCAGCTGCATCTTGACCTCGTCATGGAAGAGAGCCGGTCGTGCGCCCTGCACCACTTGAGTTGAGGCTGTACGGAGCATGGGGCCATCACGCTCCTTGGGGAAGATGGCCTGTGAGGTGAGGGGGAGAGAAGGAAGCGGGAACGGGAAGCGGGGAGGAGGCAGGAGAAGAGCGGGTAGAGGGGGTGAAGGGGGGCTTGAAGACAATGCGTCCCCACCCAGTGTGCCTTGTGCCACCTGCTGCGATGCTGGCTTGCTGCATGGTGAAAACACCGCTTTGTTGGATCGCCACTCGCCTCCACTAACAACTGTGGATTTCCCTCATCCGCCCTGCCAGCTGCGCAGTATCTGTTCTCATCTCATCTCAGCTGACATTCGTTGAATCAGCACCCACCTCACACCAAGGGCCGTTGGATGGCCATTCACTGACAGCCGTCGGATCGGCACTCACCTTCATGGACGGCCGTTGGATGTCGAGATCGTCGGCCTGTAGCTCGGTGCGCACAAAGAGGTTGAGCTTCTTGGGCAGCGTCACCTGCTGCTGCGATGCTGGCTGACTTGCTGCATGATCCACCACTGGGCACCGTGGGATCGCCGCTCACCTCCAATGACAGCCGTCGGATCGGCACTGCCTCCACAAACAGCCGTCGGATCGGCACCCACCTCCACTGACGGCCGTTGGATGTCGAGATCGTCAGCGCGCAGCTCGGTGCGCACAAAGAGGTTTAGCTTCTTGGGCAGTGCGACTTGCTGCGGGTACACGAAGAGCAGGTGCACGAGGCGCGTGAACGGCTCCGCCCTCACCATGTCCGTGAAGTCTATCGCCTGGAACTGCTCAAAGGGGGGAAGGGGAGGAGAGAGAGGTGGGGAAGAGGTGTTTAAGGGTGGGGGAGAGGTGAGGAAGAGGTGTTTAAAGGAGGGGAAGAGCAGGTGCACGAGGCGCGTGAACGGCTCCGCCCTCACCATGTCCGTGAAGTCTATCGCCTGGAACTGGGGTGAGGTGAAGGGGGGGAAGGTGAGGGAGAAGAGAGGGGGAAAGAAGAAGAGGGCGATTTGGGACAGTGGTCGCGTGAAGGGCTCCGCCCTCACCATGTCCGTGAAGTCTATCGCCTGGAACTGCACATTGTGGCAGGCGGCACGGAAAGGGGAGAAAGGCAGGTGTTGGGTGGGGATGGAAAGGTGGCTGGCTGGGAAGTCAACGGCCCGTAACTGAAGTGCAGAGGTGGGGGGGAACGGAGCAGGGACGGAGGGATAGGGCAGGTGCACGAGGCGCGTGAAGGGCTCCGCCCTCACCATGTCCGTGAAGTCTATCGCCTGGAACTGGTGGGTGGGGGAAGGGAAGAAGAAAGAAGGGAAGGGGGGTTGTGTGAGAGGGTCTTGGAACAGTGACCGTGTAAGTCTGTGTCTGGAAGTGCATGGGAGGCAGGGAGGAAAGAAGAAGCAGCAGAGGAGGCTGCAGGCAGAGAGGAACTCACACCGGAGAGGAACCTGGAGACGGAGAGGCTTCGGGCACCATGTTGACATGGTCCACCTCTCAGGTCATAGAGTCCTGCGACCGCACCCGGCTCACCCACCCCTCTTGACCCCTACCTACCCCCCTTCACCCCACGAGTAGAGGGGCATGCAGGACACTCAGAAAGCACTCACCCCTGTGAGGAACCTAGAAACCGAAAGGCTTCTGGGCACCATGTTGATGTCGTCCAGGTCTGAGGTCATGGAGTCCTGCGACCGCGCCTGGTTCACCCCCCTCTGAGACGCGCTGCTGCTGAGGGACCGCGGCGTCACACTGCCGCCCGCTGCCGCCCCCCCTGCCGCCCCCCCGGGTAGTCGCTCTACCTCGAAGTGCATGGAGACGCGCACTGGCTTCTGCGCCTTCTTCTTGGGGTCCTGTGGAGGGAAAAGGAGGGGGGGGTAGGGGGGGTGTGGGAAGCGGGGACGGGTGAGGGGAGCAAGGGCTCTCCTTGATGCCCCCTTGAGTAACCTCTCCACTTGGAAGTGCATGGAGACGCGCACTGGCTTCTGCGCCTTCTTCTTGGGGTCCTGTGGAAGGGGGAGGAGGGGAGAGGGAGAGATGGGGGGGTGGGTGAGAAGAAGAGTTGGAGCAGGGGAGGAGGGGTCCCCCCTGCCGCCCCCCCGGGTAGCCTCTCCACCTCGAAGTGCATGGAGACGCGCACTGGCTTCTGCGCCTTCTTTTTGGGGTCCTGGGGGGGAAAGGGGGGTGTTGAAGGGTAGGAAAGGGGGGAAGACGAGGAGGGGAAGTCAGCCTTCACCAATTTTGTCGACTTAGAAAACAATAACTGAGAGCCAAGGTTCGACAGCTCACCAGCAGTTGGTCATCAGTGTAGCACTCCTTGGCGCGATTCAACGTGGGAATGTCAATCTGCACAGGCGGGCCCCCCAGCTCATATGCCGGCACGCGCACCCCATTGCTATCCACCACTGGACTCGACCCCGCCCCTCCCCCCATCCCGCCCCCTTCCACCCCCAGCACACCCCCCCCTCGCCCGAGGCTCCCTGACGAGCCTCCTCCTGAGCTGCCCCCTCCAGACGCCCCGAAGCCCCCCACTCCGCCGGTGACGGAGGAGTCGAAGAGGGGAATGGTGATCCACGCGAGGGGCTCTCGGAAGGGCATCACCTGCGCCCACTCTGATAGGCGCGCTGCCTCCTTGTCCGTCAGTGTGGGCTGGAGAGAGATGGGGTGGGGGAGGGGGGGAAGGGGGATGTGGGGACGGGATGGGGGGAGGGTATGGGGGGGAGGGTAAGAGAAGAACGAAGTTGTTTATGAAAATAGAAATTAAAAGAAGGCTCATTCGCTTGGAGAGTGCAGAAACGTCAGCAAGAAAACGTTGACCAAATGCCACCCACTGTCTTGCCTCGCCACCCAAGAAAGGCACTCAGGGAGTCCTTGCGAGGGTGCACAGCCGGTTTAATTCCACTCACACTCTCCTCGCCTTTGAGTCAGCACAAAACCACACACACCCGCCCACCCATGAAATGAACCACACAAACCCCAACCACACCCTCCAGGACAGCACACTCACGGGGTCCTTGCGGGTGTACACAGCGGGCTTGATCCAATTCACGTTCTCCCCACTGTTGAGTCCCACACACACACACCAACCAACCAACCAACCACACCCACCTCGACAGCACACTCACGGGGTCCTTGCGGGTGTACACAGCGGGCTTGATGCCATTCACACTCTCGTCGCTGTTGAGTCAACTCAAATACCGCACATTCACCCTCGAGACAAACCCACCCGCCTTGAACCACCCAAGGAACTCACGGGTTCCTTGCGGGTGTACACAGCCGGCTTGATCCCATTGACGCTCTCCTCGCTGGCAGCCTTGTCGAGCTGCACCAGCAGGCACAGTGCCGCCGACTCCTTGTCCACCGAGAAGATGGCTCGGCTGTCAGGGGACGTGCTCTCGCCCTCCCACTGCGCCGGCAGGAAGGAACCTCACATCACAACACACCCACCCACCCTCGCATCACACCGACCTTCAAGCCACACACACACACCCACCCGGACAGCACACACTCACGGGGTCCTTGCGGGTGTACACAGCGGGCTTGATCCCATTGACGCTCTCCTCGCTGGCAGCCTTGTCGAGCTGCACCAGCAGGCACAGCGCCGCCGACTCCTTGTCCACCGAGAAGATGGCTCGGCTGTCAGGGGACGTGCTCTCGCCCTCCCACTGCGCTGGCAGGAACTGGAAGTGGAAGTCCTCTGAGGCCTTCTCACGGCGCTCTGCGTGGTACAGGCACATGGTGCCGCTCACTGGCTCTACCAGCCCTGCTTGCACTGTCAGGCCCAGGATGCGCACCGAGAAACGTGTACCTCTGAAGGAATAATGGGGGGGATTGCATGGCATGGGGGCGGGGGGAAGCAGGGAGGGAGGGAGTAGGAGTTTGGGCACATGGTGCTCCACTAGTCCTGCTTGTACCGTCAGGCCGAGATTGCGCACGGAGAAACGCGTGCCTCTGGGAGAGGAGTCAGGATGATTGCAGGGGGGAGAGGGGGGCAGGGAGGGAGTAGGGGGATCGGGTTGGGTGGGGGGTGCGGAGTGAGGCGGTGTGGATGGAGGGGAAAGGGATTGGGGAGAAAAGGGGTGGGCAGGGCAGGCCGATACGTTAAGGGGAAAGGGAAGTTCATAAGCATGTGAGAAAGGGTGGCAGGTGGAGGAGACGGGCAATCCATGCCACACACGTATGGTGCTTGCTTGGGATGTGCCACGCAAGCATGCATGCATGTGTCTTCCTCAGAGTGCTGGACTCACACGGAGGAGGAGGTGATGGGGCGGATGGGCAGGCGGTGGCCGATGACAGCAGCACGCTCCGAGTCCCAGTTGAAGAGCGGATCGTACGCCATTATGGTCGACCCCCCGTAGTGCTGCCAGCAGTGCCGTGCCCCACGCACACGCCCATGCACAGACAGGAAAGGAGAACCGGGGAGAACAAGTAAGTAACAAGATGCAGTCCCAGTTGAAGAGCGGATCGTACGCCATTATGGTCGACCCCCCGTAGTGCTGCTCGCCATGCAATGCCCCACGACCATGCACCCACAGCCCATGCCACCCCATGCCAAGTCATGTCAACCCATGCCACCACATGCCAACCCATGTCACCCCTTGCCAACCCATGCCACCCCATGACACCCCATGCCAACCCATGCCAACCCATGCCACCCCATGACACCCCATGCCACCCCGTACCACCCCATGCCACCCCATGCCACCCCATGACAGCCCATGTCAACCCATGTCAACACATGCCACCTCATGCCAAACCGAGCCAACCCATGCCACTCCATGTCATTCCATGCCATGACATGGCGACCAATGGAGATAGTGGGGGGAAGCAGCATTGAGGGAATGAGTAAGTGAAAGAGACACAGAGTTCCTGGTGAAGGAGGAGGAGGAGGAGGAGGAGGGGGAGGAGGAGGAGGAGGAGGAGGAGGAGGAGGAGGAGGAGGAGGAGGAGGAGGAGGAGGAGGAGGAGGGCGAGCGTGGGGGAGGGGGGGTGAGAGGGGGAAGGAGGGGGACATTGAAGGCAACAGATCATTCAGTCAGCGAGCCCTCCCGTCAAACAACTATCTAGCAGGTTGGACGAATTCCCACACTCCTTTAACCCAGCACCGCGCACTGACCTCGTCCATTGACCTATCCCCGACATAAGGGTCCTCGGGTTCCTCCTCCCCTCCATTCTGCCTGTAGCCCCCTGCTTTGGAGCGAGGTGCAGATAGACGGCGGAGAAGGGGCAGGAAAGTGGGACACAGAAAGGGGAGGAACGAGCGAGGGACGCAAAAGGAGGGAAGGCAGTGGAAGCAGAGAGAGGAAAAGCAGTGGGATAAGAGTGAGTGAAGGAAGTGGAAGCAAGGTTAAGCTCTGGAGAGGCGTCCGCGGGGTTGGAGGGGAAGCTTCGGGGTTGGAGGGGTTGAGAATTATGAAGAGACAGAAGCCAGCATGCAATGCAACACCCAACAGCCGTTTCCCCCGTACGTCACATGCATGCATTCTTTCCCCCCCCCCCCCACCCCCCGTCGCAAATACCCGTTTGCCCCTCCCTCTGACTCTCACCACGTCTGAGGGGTTGGAGGGGAAGACTTGGTTGGGGAAGGAGAGGTGCGGCGTGCCGTACTTGTTCTCTATGTGCACGATGTTCTTGCAGCAGACTTTTGAGAATCATAAATAAACACAAGCCAGCATGCAACCCCCACAAGCCGTTGGCCCCGTACGCTGACGTGCATGCAACCCCCCCAACTCCCCTTCCCTCACCCTTCCCCCCCGCTCGCAAATACCCGTTTGCCACTCCCTCTGATTCTCACCTGGAGGGGCGTCTGAGGGGTTGGAGGGGAAGACTTGGTTGGGGAAGGAGAGGTGCGGCTCGCAGATGAAGGTGCCGTACTTGTTCTCTATGTGCACGAAATCCGCGTTCACGCAAAAGTCCAACTCGCGCAAGTGGGGCACCTCCTCGGCCTCCGGCAGAATCTAGGGAGGAAAGGGGAGGAATGGGGGAGGAGGAGGAGGGGAGGGAGGTGGGGAGGGGGACGAGGGGGAGAATGGGGAAAGAGAAGGGGAGGTGAAGGGGGACGAGGAGGGGGGAGTTTCGGCTGAGCGACGATGAGAAAGGAAAAAACATGACTTCAAGAGAGGAATTTCACTGGTTTATTCTCTCCCGTTTAAAGGCCAACTCCTTGATTCCGTGTGGAACGTTGCAGCTGGATAAGACTGACGTGAAACGAGACGCTTCCCAGTGGCCAGCACTCCGCGTGGAATCGCTGAGCCAACATAAAGCGGACTAAATTATCATCGCGTACAAGGCCCTGGCATCCGAAATCGCACTCAACAAAACCGTACACTCCAATCTCCTGAAACCGCGGTCAAGTCGACTCAAAAGCCACCTCCTTAGAAACTGCATTATCGAGGTAGGGTAAGGTCATGACGCTGACTTTGACCGTAACCTAGTCCGCAGCTAAGTATTAAGAACTACAGCCACTCACCATGGAATCCAGATTGCACCCCTGTCCAATTGCCGGAGGCCGCGGGACATACTTAATCTCCAAAAGGCTCATGGTTGCTGATAAGTCAGGCCCCACTAAGGGGCCTGCTCGTTACCCTGACCGGAAATGCACAACACTAACGCACGAAGACTTTAACGAAGGCGACGACGCCTTTCTAGCTCCTCCATTTCGCCTGTTTAAAGTTTAACGTCTCATCGGAGCGGAACTATGTGCAACTGAAGATCGCGAGTCGAAAAACTACGAGGCCAGTTGCTTGCGCACTGACCACCTGATCAAAGACGACTGAGGGAACAAGAGTTCCGGCCGAACGCAATGCCGACAAGAAAGGAGGGTACCGACGGCAATAAAGCGGTGAACTGACTATGACGTCATTGTCGCGTGCCGCTAATGGCTAGTTTCTAGGAGCATATCGTAAATAAAGCTATCAGGCCACCTGAATATGGAAGGTAAACTGCCTTGTGTATCTGAAACTGCGATTTCTACCGTCGGCACCTGTCAAGCATCCGTCTGGTACAGAACGTTTTCGTACTTTCGAGTGCGGTGCTCTTTACCAATCAAATCAGCCATCCCGAACAAACCTCTCCCCGTAATCCCCTCAGGGAATCACGTGGCCTAGAAGAAACCAAGTGTACAGCAGGTTCGGTTCTTGGGAACTCCCTCCCGCCGAAGCTGCGACGCAGTGAGAAAAGCAGGGCTGTGATTCGGGGAGCTGCCTCGGCAGCACATAGTCTGCCAGGTTCGGTGCTAGGCTCGTACATGGAGAAGAATGCAGTCAATTGAATCCATAATTACAAAAGTACAGCAACATCACATAAAACCAACAGAATTCTGGAGAATTAGTATAAATCAAACCCACTCCGTCCAAAATTGTTTGTACTTCTTCTATTCCTGCATGGCAAGTCGACTATGTGAGCACTGAAACATCTTGACATATCTCATTACGATGCCTCCCAGTTGTTGACCTCCACATTCTTTACTACTGTTCAGTTAGTCCCATAAATTCCACTTTTTTATGTCAAGCGCGCCGCCTCCACCATGACCAGCTGATCCGGTCTAGCTGCATTCATCCCTCATCTCGGCTCATCTGCTGCTGTACCTACAGGTGCAGCTGCTTTCAACCCTTGCACGGATGTCCCTTCACCTCCTGCCGCTCCCCCCTCTCCTCTACTTCCTCCTGCTTCTGGTTGGTCACCAGGCGCCACATCACCATCACTGGAAACAGTTTCACCTCCACTACCACCCCTTACAGCCTCACCCACCTTCTTCTCCCCTTGACCCCCCTCTCCTTCCCCAGCCTCCCCATCTCCTCTCCTTCCCTCTGCCGCCTCCTCCCCCTCCTGCCCCTCATCCACCCCAGCAGCATCGGCATCAGCATCGGCAGCGGCAGCGGCAGCAGGGGGCATGGAGGCGAGAATGAGTTGCTTCACAGGCTCGCATGCTGCTTGTGTGGATACGAGAGTAGCAGGGGAGCCGTAGCAGCGGGAGAAGCACACAGCCACGTAGGGGCACACCACCTGCATGATGAGAGGGGGGGGGGCGGGAAAACAGGGGAGTGGGAGAAGTGGGGAGTGAGAGAAGTGGGGGAGGGAAAAATGAAGGAGCAGATGCGATGAGATTATGGAAAATGTGTGCTATGGCAAGTATCAGTGACGCCATGAAGGGTCTGAAAAGTGTTGCGGTTGGTTAGCAAAGTCGGGTGCGGCCAGATGTGCATGAGAGAGAACCACCACATCATCCACACACCACCACTCCAAGCTTTCACAGACTTCTATCAACACACGCCCACACTCACCTCTACGAACGCCCTGCACGTGCTAATAAAGAGAGCTGCCTCGGATTCCTTGACTATGTGCGTGTGACTGTAGCGACCCAGCGACCCCGCCACCACTGCCCGTGCACTGACCTCTGCACACACACACTCCCACACGAACCCCAACACTCACCTCTACGAACGCCCGGCACGTGCTAATAAAGAGAGCTGCCTCGGAGTCCTTGACTATGTGTGTATGGCTGTAGCGACCCAGCGACCCCGCCACCACTGCCAGCGCCCTCTCCACCTCCCCTGCCAGCTGCTGCTTCAGGGCCGTCGGCGCACAGTGCCTCAACTCGTTCAGTGCCGCCAGGATGCCTGCATATGAAGGAGGAGGAGGGAAATGGGTGGAAATTTTATAAGTTGACTGAAAGTCAACAGGTTGGCGGGCACTTCTGCACCTTGTTCCGCTCGTGGAGGGAGGAGGGGGAGGGGGGTGCGGGGGTAAGTAACAGAGGGGGTGACGGAGGGAGAGGGGAGTGGGGAAGAGGGGAGGTGATGAGGGAAGGGGCAAAAGAGGGGTTGGGAGTAGTGTTCTTGAGGACGGTGAGCAAATGAGGGCATGGGCAAGGGGGCGGTTGGGAGGCTTAACCATTAAACCGTGTCCCACATCTGCACAGCTCCATTCCCCCCCTAGCACGCACCATTCACGAACGCGGCCAGTGGTGGGTGCTCCATGAGCGAATAGGGTGGCGCCACGTCATCAAGGGATTCACCTCCCAGGCCCATGCGAGCAGCGGAGCCCATGGATGGGAGAGGCACCCATCTGTGCGTCTCCAAGACATGCTGTGGATGAAAGGGAGGGGAGAGGGGTTGGGGGGAACGGAAAGAGGGAAACGAAGAGGGAAGAGAGGGAGTCACCACCCAGGCCCAGGCCCATGCGAGCAGCAGAGCCCATGGAGGGGAGAGGCACCCATCTGTGCGTCTCCAACAGATGCTGTGGACGAAAGGGAGGGGAGAGGGGTGCATGGGGGAGGAAGGAAAGAAGTCACCACCCAGGCCCATGCGAGCAGCAGAGCCCATGGATGGGAGAGGCACCCATCTGTGCGTCTCCAACACATGCTGGGAAGAGAGGGATGGGAAGGGGACAGGGGGGCAGGGTGGAAATGAGGGGAGAGGAGAAAGGAGCAAGGGAGTAGCCGAGCAGCAGAGCCCATGGATGGGAGAGGCACCCATCTGTGCGTCTCCAACACATGCTGGGTGGATAGGAGGGAGAGGGGGAGCGGGGGTGGGGGATGAGGGGGGGAGCCGGAGGGAAAGACGGTGACAGTGGCACACGCACCTGTGTGGGCCAACGCATGGTCGAGGTGGGAAAGGGGCAGAGGAAGTATCATACGCACCATGTGCGCATACCATCAATGGATGATGGGCGATGGGCGATGGGTGATGAATGATGGGTGATGGGTGATGGGTGGATGGGTGATGGGTGATGGATGATGGGTGATGGGTGGATGGGTGATGGGTGGATGGGTGATGGGTGATGGGTGGATGGGTGATGGGTGATGGGTGATGGGTGGATGGGTGATGGATGATGGGTGATGGGTGATGGGTGGATGGATGAGATGAATGACATCATGCATGGGACATCGCAGTCGACTCATTGCAGTCCACTCACGTGGAAGGAGTCAACTGCAAAGGAGATGTTGCGCTGGAACATTCGCAGCACACACCCCCAAGTGATGAGAGGGGTGGATCCAAACTGTGTGCTTTGCGTCGACTCAAAACACAACTCACATGGAAGGAATCAACTGCAAAGGAGATGTTGCGCTGGACCATTCGCAGCACACACCCCCAAGTGATGAGAGGGGTGGATCAAAACTGTGTGCTTTGCGTCGACTCAAAACACAACTCACATGGAAGGAGTCAACTGCAAAGGAGATGTTGCGCTGGACCATTCGCAGCACACACCCCCAAGTGATGAGAGGGGTGGATCAGAACTGTGTGCTTTGCGTCGAATCAAAACACAACTCACATGGAAGGAGTCAACTGCAAAGGAGATGTTGCGCTGGAACATTCGCAGCACACACCCCCAAGTGATGAGAGGGGTGGATCAAAACTGTGTGCTTTGCGTCGACTCAAAACACAACTCACATGGAAGGAGTCAACTGCAAAGGAGATGTTGCGCTGGAACATTCGCAGCACACACCTGAGAGGGGTGGATGGGAAGCATGATGAGAGAATTATGAGGGGAATGAGGGTGGTGGGAGTGATGATACGATGATGAGGAAAGGTGACAGCAAAAGGAGCAGTCATAATCAAAGAATCAGCGAATCAGTAACAGTGGCAGTGGAAGGCAATAGAAGAATGAGAGCAGCATGAGTAGCGGCAAGAGCGGCTCACGATTCAAAGAGCGGAGGCAGGAGGCCTCGGAGGTCCAAACCCACTCGTCCAAGACTCATGCCGCAGTACTGCCAGGGAGGACATAGAGTGGTTTAGGGACAGCAGGATTTAGGGACAGGGGTGCGGCGAGGTGGAGGAGAGGCATGAGGTACGGCATAAGAAGGGAGACGAGAGGGTTGAAGGCAGGGAGAGGAGAGAAAGTAGGCATAAGCAGGAGAGGAACAGGGCCAAGGACCAATTCAACATGCTTCACATGTCCACCCGCCCGTTTCCATCTCATCATGCCACCCATCTAATCATGCCGCCCATCTCACCATGCCGCCCATCTCACCATGCAGTGCTCCAGCACGCTAGCCAGAGACCCCCCATCCTCGATTCTCGGCAGATGCTGCGCCAGCGCTGCTAAATACACAGCCACCCGGTGCATAGCCCATCCATACACCAACCCCCCATCCCCACCCGATCCCCCACCCCCCCATCCGTTCAAAACCGCCCCGCCTCCGGCCCTTCCCTTCCCATACTTCCCCAACACTCCGCCCACCCCTCCCCCGGCTCCCCCCCCCACTCCCCCATCCCCTAGCAGAGCGGCGAGCGCGGCCGAATCCTCGTCCAGGTTCGATGAATCTGGGGAATTGGAGGAGTGGTGGGCGAAGATGGCGTGGTACTGCGTGGCGACGTCAAAGAGGTGCACGCGGTGGCAGTCGGTGAGGCGCTTCAGATAGTCGTAGGGGGACGACGGGTCCAGCTCAGATACCACCTCCCCCAGCCACGCCTCCCTGCACCGCAGGAACTGAGGGGAGGGAGGGGGAGGAGGGGGAGGGGAGGAGGTTGTGGGGGGGGAGGGGGGAGGGGAGGAGGGGGTTGGGGGAGGAAGGGAGACAGGGAAGAAAGGGGAAAGAGGAAAGGGAGAGTCATTGTCCAGGTTCGATGAATCTGGGGAATTGGAGGAGTGGTGGGCGAAGATGGCGTGGTACTGCGTGGCGACGTCAAAGAGGTGCATTCGGTGGCAGTCGGTGAGGCGCTTCAGATAGTCGTAGGGGGACGACGGGTCCAGCTCAGATACCACCTCCCCCAGCCACGCCTCCCTGCACCGCAGGAACTGAGGGAGGGAGGGGGAGGAGGGGGAGGGGAGGGGGTTGGGGGGGGAGAGGGGGGAGGGGAGGGGGTAGGGGAGGAAGGGAGACAGGGAAGAGAGGGGAAAGAGGAAAAGGAGGAGGCATTGTCCAGGTTCGATGAATCTGGGGAATTGGAGGAGTGGTGGGCGAAGATGGCGTGGTACTGCGTGGCGACGTCAAAGAGGTGCACGCGGTGGCAGTCCGTGAGGCGCTTCAGATAGTCGTAGGGGGAGGACGGGTCCAGCTCAGATACCACCTCCCCCAGCCACGCCTCCCTGCACCGCAGGAACTGAGGGGAGGGAGGGAGGGGGGGGGGGGAGAGGAAGGTGGCGGGGGGAGAAGGAGAGGAAATGACAGGGGAAGGGGAAGGGAGGGCGGAAGAGGAGAGGATGAGAGGAAAAGAGAAAGGGATGGAGCAGGGGCTTGCAGGACGGGGAGAGCCCAACATCACACCAAGTTCAAATGTGATCATGCAGAGAATTTTCGTAGCAGCAATCACAATGGTTGTGGTTGTGGCTCTTTTGAGGAATCTTGCTGCTCACCTGAAGTCGCATTTCTGTTTCTGAGAACACCGCCAGTCGCCGGAGATAGCCAATCACACGCAGACACTCTGGCAGCTGCAGGGAATGGGTGGTGCGGGGGCACAGGAAAACATCAGCAGGTAATTCGTCAGAGGAGAACTGACACAGCAGCCACATAGGAAGTTGGCTTCAGGGAAGAAAAAGAAAGGGGAATTTGAGGGGAACAAGGCTTGGCATGTCAGATTGCAGGTTGCATTGCACGGCTTGGTGTAAAGTGAAGACACGGCAGACCTAAACGGTGGTGTAGAGAGAAGACATGTGGCAAACAGGGTCGCACCCAAGCCTCCGCTGATGCTGCCTTTCTCCTTGAATGTCACGTTGCTTCCTCGCCTGAATGTCACGCTGCTCCCTCATTTGAATGCCACACGAGCTTCTCACCTGGATGTTGGATCGCAGTCGAAGCAGCAGCTGTGACAGCATGGCCTGCGTGGTGTGCCTCACTTCCACCGCCAGCTGCTGAATCACAGGCAGCCTGGTGGGGTGATGAGTGGGATGATGAGTGACGTGATAAATAGGAGGAGCGTGGAGGGGACCCGACGACTCTCATTCTCAATAAGGTAAGGGTGACGATTTGTATGACTACTTTTATAAGCAGTCATACAAATCATCACCCTTACCTTATTAGGTTGCGTCTACCCTCATAAATGGTGATGCGGTGGGTTGATGCATGACGAATGGGATGTGCGAGGATGGGAGGGTGGTGGCAGGTACACCGAGGCGGGAACAGGGAGAGAAAGCGGGAAAAGGACTTGACTCTTACTCCACCCCGCCACCCACGCAGTTGACTCTCACTATCCCCAACCCCCCCCCACGCACTTGATTCACCGCTACCCACACCAATCACCCCCACACGCTTGATTCACGGCTACCCACACCAATCCCCCACTCAACCCTCCCCCACCCCCCCCACGCACTTGGCATGCATGGTGGTGAGCTTCGCCACGAAGGCCTTTTCAACACCCCCTCCTTCCCCCCCCCTCCCCCGTCCACGCACTTGACTCTCAAACCCCCCTCCACCCACTCTCCACGCACTTGGCATGCATGGTGGCAAGCTTCGCCACAAACGCCTCCAGGTCCAACGCCTCGTCGTAGTTGCCGTTGCGCACACAGCTGCACACCCGGGAGAAGGAGCAGTGGGGGGGCAGAGGAAGAGCAGGAATGGCATTTGAACAGGTTCTTCACAAACGAACGCCTCCAGGTCCAATGCCTCGCCATAGTTGCCGTTGCGCACACAGCTGCACACAGAACCGCATTCACAGTCTCAAAGAGGAGGCTCACACACGGAAGCAACAGCTCAGCTGGAAACGGCAAAAAGTCTTGCAAACTCCGCCCAGGCAGAACATGTGGTCATGAGCCATAGCAGCACCCACGTGGCAATGAACCATGGAAGCACCCACGCGGCCAGCACCCACGTGGCCAGCACCCACGTGGCCATAAGCCACAGCACCCATGTGTAGCAGCACTCACGTGTCCATGAGCTGTGGGATCTCTAAAAGGTCCATGAGCGTGGGGTGGGTGGCAAGCATTGTCTTGTTCAGCCGCCTCTTCTCCATCACCCCCTGAGCCTCCTCTAGAAACTCATTGCACCCCGTGGTGAGCTTAGGGATCTCCGATACCTGATGCCAGATACAGTGGGAAAGGATTTGATAAGATATGATAGGATCAGGCAACAGCGTAGGGATTCCCAATACATGATGTCACATCCGCTTTATTTTGGAACATGATGCAATGTCAGATTCGACAATAATGGTTATGACGAATATCTTGACAATGATATGCTTATAAGGATTCGGTCTCCACAGTCACCTCGTGACGTGTTGATTGGCCGAACATGTTGTGATACATAGTAATGATCGGTGACTGACTAGGCGTTCAAAATCACAATGATGCAATGGCTGGATGGTAACACATTATGAAATAACTGGATGAATCTACATCACTCAATGTCAGACGATCGCCTCTCACCAGAGATCCCAGGTGTTGGTCGCCTCTCACCAGAGACCCTAGGTGTTGGTCGACGGAGTTAATCTCGCGGTGGATGGACCGGATGGCGTCAGCAGCGGTGATGAACGCGCGGTAATGCGCCACCGCCACCTCCTGCATCTGCCGCTGCACCCTCTCCGCATCGGCGCGCAGAAGCCCTGGCTCCTGCCGCAAGCAAAGCGTTAGAGACGGGGGAAAGGACGACGTGAGTAAAAGATAGGTTGAATAGGTAGCAATAGACTGAGAAGCGGCAAGAATCGCAGAATCAGTGTTTCTGATTGGTCTGGCCTCAATTGAGGGAAGCGTTAATCATGCATGTATCCGGAACGAAAGTTCAAAGATAGGTCTTTGTCGCTTTTCCCCGAATCTTTCAAGAACCATGACGATGGCCCCGAGGTCCTTCTACCTTACAACCCCAATCTCTGTCGCACCTTGTTCAGCCGATCCAGGCTGTAGGAGAGCAGCTCTGACAAGTACGCATCTTGAAGCTCCTCTAACCCTACCGAACTGCCACCTCCTGATCCTTGGGCTATGGAGGAATCCCCTAGAAGCTGGCTAGTGGGCGTGGTTGGCGCGAAGCTGCGCGGAGACGAGGCGGGGAAGTACACGCGCGGAGAAGCCATGAATGCGGACGTGCGTGCGGATAGTTCTGCTATGGAGGAGCCTCCCTGAGAATTCCGCTGAGCGAAATGCGTGGCGAGTCGAATTGCAGAGGAAGCAAAGGCTGTTGGATATGTTTCAAAGATGTCCGCTAAAGACATACCATGGTTCTGTAAGGAGGATCTTCGCATGAATAGAAAGGAACGGATAAATTTTACCTTTTTTTAGGGTGTTAATATTTGACTAATGTGCAGTTCAACCTTGCTGAGAATGATTGGCGGAAGGTCGTCCGGGCAAGTTGTTTTTTCATCCAAACAATGCGAGGCGGAAACTTTGTCACGCGCCAATCACAACTGAGCTCTACGCCAAGAGATCGGGGTGTCAGGGAAAAGTGAATTTCCCTCCAATACGGCCACAAGGGGAGAGTGCCTTCACATTGGGCCTTCTCTCCCCGAAGGCATCAAGGGGTGCTGAAGCACACCACAGGCCTTGGGCATAGCACGAGGGTGTCACGCGGGAACTTCGCTGATTAGCTGGGCGAACTGGTCGCCCCGGGAATTTGTGCCCCCGTAACCCTAACCACGCACCAGACCAGACAGGCGCGCTTGGTCCACAAAGCTTGTTCTCGAACGTGGTTGGGTCTCGCACACTGTTCTCCGAATCAGTCTCAAACCAGGCTTCCCCAAAGCAGGCAACCAATCAGACAAACCATGTGCTTGGTCTGGTTGTAAAGTTCCCCTGCCACGGTAGCCAGCCATACCAGCTTCTAACCCGAACGCCCGTGCCTCGGCAAGCTGTAGGAAAAATGAAATTGCCGCTTCGGGAAGCAAAAAATTGGTCTTTCCAGGCAAACCTCGTCAGAAGACACGAGCAGCACGATTGTGCCTTACGAGTATTTCACGGAGATATGGAAGCCAGGAAAGCTTGCCTGATGCCGTTTTGGCACACTTGGGCCGCCTCCACGAGCTCACCTTTTCTCTGTTTCATGAGGCCGAGACTACCTGAAAATTCAATCAGTCATTAGTTTCAAAGAGCGCTACTAATACTTGATCTGTCAGAGGGCCGTCCAGCCGCTAGGCGGTGCTGGCGTTGATGGCAGTAGGTAAAATGGATGCGTCTTCTAATCCGGACGCCGCTGTTCCAGAGGAATCCAACCATCCACAGGGCAAAGAGGCTCAAGAGAAGAAAGTTACAGCAGATTCGCACGCTACTGATTTGCAGCAACCCGCTCCGTCTTCCCGATCAGGGTTAGTTCTTCCAGATTTTACCTTCAATCTGAGAATGTACCTCATCAGAGAATGTAACTTCTCATCGGGACCTACTTGCTGATTCGTGTGTTATGTTGCAATGCAGTGGAAAGATATTTATAGGGGGCATTTCATGGGAAACCAAAACAGGTGCGCAGTTATATCCTGTTTTTTTATTCCTATCCTAACTGTCGAGACAATGTTTCGTCCTTCAGTGTATTCCTGTCCTTCACGTGCACACGAATCTTCAATCTTTTCCCGTCCTTGACATGCAGAGGACTTGATCGAGCATTTCAAGCAATATGGAACTATTGTGGATGCGGTGGTTATGAAGGATCGCGCGACCGGCCGGCCACGTGGATTTGGATTTGTCACTTTCGAGGATCCCTCAGCGTGTGATAAAGTCGTGGAGGATCAACACGTCATTGGCGGTCGAGCGGTAGGCGACGTCAGATTTTGCTATATCATGATCATTTGCAAAGAAAGAGTGTTTATTGATAGATAGTGGCGTCTCGTAAGCTCGCGAAATTCGTTCTTGCTGGCTCTACGTGTAGGTGGAAGCCAAGAAATCAGTTCCACAAAATGCAAGTGCAGGACGCGGTCCGAGGACAAAGAAGATATTCGTCGGAGGCCTTGCTGGTAGCACCACAGAAGGTAACTTGAATGTGTTTCCCTGACCGCCATGTTCCCTGAAACACTGCATTGTCAATCGCTGATGTATTTCTCATTTCTTGCAGAGGAATTTGCTGCGTACTTCTCGAATTTCGGAAATGTGGTGGATCGCCAAGTAATGATGGATCATAACACTGGTCGATCTCGGGGGTTTGGCTTCGTCACTTTTGACAATGAGCAATCCGTTGAAAATGTCCTTTCTCAAGGAAAAATGCATCAACTTGGAAACAAACAGGTAAGACACAGGCTAATTTTGTCCACGAAATTTGTTTTTTGCAGTCAGCACGCCTCCTATATGTATTACAATGTTTGAATTACTAGCTCTGCCTGACCATTTCTTTGCTTGCAGGTTGAGGTGAAAAAAGCGGAGCCCAGGAGAATGGATGCTCCTGGAGGGAATGATGGCTTCGGTGTAGTACGGGGTCGTCGTCATGGTGTAGAGTACAGCTCGGGAGGCTACGGGATTCCGGGGAGCTACGGAGATGCCCCGATGCCTGCTTACAGAGGCGACTACGGCTATGGCCCTGCTTATGCAGGTGGTTATGGTGTTCCCTATTCCGCCATGTACATGGGAAGCGCAGGCTACAGGCCATACCCTGGCTATGGGGACTCTTACGGCGGAGAAGGCCAATATCAAGCAAATAGTCCTTTCAGTGGAGCAGCAGGTGCCAGCGCTTATTTGCCTAATGCTGGGCTCCAGTATGCAGAACCCAGTGAAGGATACGCCCCGCCTAATTTTCCTGCAGGGTACCCTCAAATGGGACCAGGTCCGCCCACAGACTACACAATGGGAGGGACGTATGTAGGTGGGGCGTATGGTGCATATCCTGCTGGTCCGTATGCCCCCCCGCCACCTTCACCAGTACATCCAGGCTTTCAAGTCGAAAGAGGTGGAATGTTTCCTGGGCCTAGTCAATATCACCCTTATGGGAGGGGGTGAGTTTTTGCATTGTGACCTTTACCACTAGGCCCTTATGGGCCTAGTCAGTAGGTGTGTTGCTATAGTGAAATGCCACAACAGAAACTAAACAAAGAAAAAGGCTTCACCTTTCTGTACTTTGTAAGGCATACAACAAACAAACAAATAACATGTGTAATACTGGTAGCTAGGTATATAAATGTAGAGAAGGCTTTCGCAAATTTGATTGGTGGTGAATGGCAGACGAGCGGGTTTAAACCTGATGGAGCCGGTAGCCCCCTGATGGAGCCGGTAGCCCCCTGATGCCTGTCCCCACATTCTCCACCTCCCCTACCATCATCTTTATACCAGTAGTTGAGTACCTTATGTGCATAGGGACGTGTGTGGGTCTACAGTTCAGGATCTTGTGTCTGTACGTATGTAGGTAACGATCGATTGGTTGAATTGCAGTCATATTGCATCCACTTTGTCACCAGATAACAATACAATCCCAGCCAGCAGAATTATGCGTACACAAACAAGCCTGGACATGTAAGTAGGTACCGGTAAGTGAAATAGTATAAAAAACGTAATAAGCCAACAATTACATGAACTATATTTTTTTGTTGGATTATTTTAATGAAATTTAAAAAATTTGAACCCTTCTTTTGCAAATCCTTCAAATTCATCAAGCAAATCTATAGTATAAAGAGTTAACCAGAGTTGAAGGATTTTCTATTTAGCATACATATGGTGTGTAAAGAAATGCAAACACTTTTTATTCTTCATTCGATTTTGAAGTGATTGTTGCGAGCATTCACTCGTGCGGTGGGCTGGTAAACGCACAGTGCTTGGGACGACATTACACGTGGCCCAAATCAACCAAGCATACGACGTTTATCTGATTGGTTGTGAGTCATTGCCCAATCCATTTCCGTGAGACCTGTCCAATCCGTTGGCAACTGAAATCCCAGTACAACGTCCAGAAGCCGATCGGTTGGCTTCGCGGATGCCCTTGCCTGACCCAGTAATGTAATCACACAACCCCACTTTCTCAGTTTGCCAGACTTCGCTCCAGCAAGCTCATCCAACTCACCTTACGCCCTTCAGCTAAACCAGAGCTGACGCCATGGCCGCCGTGTCCACCTCCGCTTTTGTTGCCCCCAGCTCCATCAAGAGCTTCGATGGCCTCCGCGCCAGCGCCACCCCCAGCCGGGTGGTGAAGTTCGCTCCCCTGAAGGGCAAGGGTGCCCTTGGTGCCCGCGCTGACTACATTGGCTCCCCCACCAACCTGGTCCGTTCCCGTTGTGGCTACGTTAGATGTTTCTGTCTCTCTATTTTCTTACCGTTGCTCGCTGTGCTGGTTTCGTTGGACATTTCGTATTAATTTCGACTCAACTCCGTTGTCTACCTCTCTTTTTCCAGATCATGGTGAGCTCCATCGCTCTGTGCTTCGTCGCTGGCCGCTTCGGCCTTGCTCCCTCGGCGAACAGGAAGTCCAGCGCCTTCCTGAAGTTGAGCGAGAGGGAGACTGGCCTTGGCACCAACGACCCTGCCGGCTTCACCGGCACTGACGTGCTCGCTTTCGGAGTTGTCGGCCACGGCATTGGCATCGGCATCGCCCTTGGCCTCAAGTACATCGGCGTGATCTAAGCGCTACCAATGCTGTACATTCCAAGAATAGATAATGAAACGTCCTCAATACAATTCTTAATTTAAACAATTGCCAATAATATCCTAGCCAAAGCGGATCATGCTGCATGTCTATTGTCTACCGAACCCATGCGCACCAAATATAGTCACTTAGAAGTTCATTTGCACCATGGTGATACAAATCAAGTATGCGGTGCTGCACAAGAACCAAGAATGGCTAGCAATAACTTTCCCAATGTTAGAATAACCTACACCCAGTAATATCCAAGCGAGAGAGTAACATGCTGCATCAGCAATAGTGGTATCACTTGATATACACACAAGCAGGATATATGCTGCATGTCTAATGGACTGTTTAAATGCACATCAAAGCTTGGAGTCACTGAAAACCACTGGACTTTCTGCTCACATTGGTACACATCAAGCCGGCGGTGCTGCACCAGGACACAAGAATGCTGCATGCTGCATGTCAAATGAATTGTCTCATTTCACATCAAAGCTTGGAGCCACTGAAATCACTGGACATCCCGTGCGCACCTTGGTACACATCAACTCTGCGGTGCTGCACCCAAACACAATGATGTATAGAAATAAGTAAAGTGCTGCATATCAAGAACATTGGTCAAGGGCTACCACCGGTACAATACCTGATGAATTGGCATACGTAGTCTTGTAGACACAATAAGGTCCATGTCAATGTCCGCTGTTGCAATTCCTGTTACAACTGAATCTGCAGGCAGGTAGACCAGAGCAACCAGAAGTGAGGCAATTGCTGAGCAGCTTCCTTGCGTCATGCGGACAGCTGCCAGGGTAGCACTACGTACCATTGCAACGGGCAACAACTTTACCCCATGGATCTACGACAAGGGCATGACCATAACTGTCTCTGCGATCATTGTGCCGGCCTGCTTGAGCTGCTGCAATGACCTGCCACGTAGAAGCTCAGCTTGTCAGCCAAGTGCTATAGCAAGCAATTGCTATTGGAGCCAATGGAGCACTCACATAACACTGGCATTCTATAGCACGTGCTCGCAGAAGAACTTCCCAGTGAGCCTCTCCAGTCTTCTGGGTGAATGCGGCAGGAATTAGAAGTACCTGCCCAAATAAACAGAGCACACTTCTCATTGATGTGCTCCTTACCACACAAGCCAACTGCTTGACTATTCGGACTTACATCACAATGATGATCGAACCGGAGCTGCTGATACAGCTCCGGAAAGCGTAAATCATAGCAAACGGTTAAACCAAGTCTGCCAACAGGAGACATAGCAGAGACAACGCCTGATCCCGGTAGTGTGCTGTTGCTCTCCGTCAGGACTGGCCCCCCTGGAACATTCACATCAAACCTGGTTCAGCAGCATGAAATTATGTTAGGGAGGTACGCGTGCACAGAATGCAGCAGAGGAAAACCGAGTGATTGGAACTGCCAAAAGATGTTGAGGGATCCATTACAGGTGAATCTTTCTGTAAGCTGCTTGAATTGTCCCTGTGTCATCCACGAGCACATGAGTGTTGAAGAAACGTCTGCCTGCGTCAGGACCTCCTGCCTCCTGAAATCCTCCGAAAGATAGCCAGATAGAAAAGTTTCTGCAAGCCACAAAAAAGATGGCGTACAGGCGGCGCAGGCATAAGGTACGACTGCATATCATACTTGCTTGTCCAGCAGAGTGTGATTGCTTGCATCCAATGTTGTTGCTGGTTTTGAGATTTACATTCAACACTGTCGTGGTATGAAACGTACCGTGCCAGTTGGCAGTACTTCTTCATGAGTGGACCATCTAGCGGCTCAGCAACTGCCGCAGCTTCTCCATCCCGTTCACCAATGAAGGAAAAGCACTCAGGGGGACATAGGAGGGTTGCACCAGCTGCAGCCGCTTGCTGGAGCGATAAAAGAGTAAGAGAAAACATAGAGTAAGAGTAAAGCAGGAAGTACAAAATAATGATAACTACCTAAAAGCACTGAAGGATTCCTCACGTCACAGTCATGAGGCTTACCTCCACAAGCAATTTGCATGTAGCGTAGTTCTTCTCAACATCACCAACAGCTGTCATTTGCGCCACAGCCACTCGCCTGCTGCCACCATGACCATTGCTCTCGATGACACCCGCTTCCGTATCCAGCTTCTGCTTAATACCACCCAGTTGCTGCTGAATACGGCCTCCGCCAACCCCCGAAAGCGTCGTTCGGTCGGCGTTGGAGTCATCAAGCATGTCCCCTGATGGGGTTTCCAGAGATGAGTCGTCGACATTTGGAGCCATGGAGCCACGGAATGCCATGCAGGCGAATTGCTTGAACGAGGCAAATGTGGGCAACCTAGGTGCCACTGCAACGCCCAGTAATGCGTTACGCGATCCAGTCTTCAAAGTGAACGATCTAACGAACAATGGACTCACTTGAAGAAACTGAGATGTAGCATGAAACAACATTAGGAGTCGATATGGGCCTACGCAAGGAATGCAACGACGCACTTCGTATTCGTCAAGGTTTGGTCATGGAGGGAATGGAGCGACAGACGGATGCGCAGCAGACGCCACAGAAACGCTACCGCCACCAAGAGAATGAAAGCATCAATCGGAACCAGCCGAATCTGTGCTACTACATGCGCGCGGATATCCCATGAACGCCAGTCATGGTACAACTTCAGCTACATAAGATGTGTTGTTTGAATCCCATGTATGTCAACACTACTTAGATACATGGATGGAAATAATGTTGTTCTAGCATCCATGCCATTGAGGTGAAAGTTGGTGGATGTTCCAAAAACGATGGTGACACTTCCAGGCAGATCAACATGCTGGTGGCCAGTCAGAGGAGCAGCTCCGCCATGCCTTGACGTCACCTCACACAAGAAAAGCTTCTGATTGACGTGGCGACGCTCGCTCACACGCATCAGACCAGTCTGCTTGGGCCGACATGCCAAAGCGGAAAACTCGGCTCGGAAGGGCGAGGTTGAGGCCAAATTCTCGTCACCGTTTCAGCTTTGCCAAGCTCATGCCACCACCATACCAGAGAGGCTATTTGATTGGGTGTTGTTTTCCAGGGCTTGAGGATTTAAACTTCTCGGATTGGCCTAGATTACTGCCGAATCAGGGAACCAGCTTCAAAATGAGGTATGGTTTCAACGAGACTGAGAGAGTTTGAATAACCCCAACCAATGCCATCTCTCAACACAGGTATCTTTGCCTCGACGGGCAGCCCAGCACAACCGAAGTGCACCAAGGCGGGCCACGTGCTCGCCGAGGCTGGATGAAATCAGACCAAACCCAGGTTTTGCACATAGCCAGCTAGCTGTTCAAGGCACTGCGTATTGGCACTCAGTTCCGGAAGAGGCGAGGAGTTGAGGAATCCTCTCGAGACGATGGTCTACTGCACGGACGGAAACGAAGGCGGTTGCTGCCTTTCTCCATCATCTGAAGGATGACACATGGCTCTTGCTGATGAAGCCCTGGTTTGTTCTTTCAGGAAGTGCTAGAGGAGTGTTGTGGGTGGGCTTCTTTATCCAGTTCAATGGTCAGCCTGATCTATGGACCAGGCACACCCTCTAACCAGGGTGTTCAGAGCTGGCTAGGGTCCATGTTTCCAGTGTAGACTGGGTTAATTCGATAGACACTTACCGTTACGTTGCCGAGCATCAGTATGATAGTAATGCTTTCACTTCCTTCTCGAATTTCAGGCTCCGTCATTTGCGTTAACCACGTTTCGCGTGCCTTGTTGTAGAAATACGATAAGATAGGTAGAAATGGTGAGGCATGCTGCTCCTAGGGGCCTGGGAAAGCATTGTCATTGTTGCCGGCAAAAGAGACCAACCGCTGAGCTAATTCCATGTGGAGCGTCGCAAGGTGAAGGTGGAGCTAAACATGGCCCGTGGTGCCATAGGTGCATCCTCACAAAGCTCCACAAAAACCTGTCGTTTATAGCCGCAGCTTCTATGGCAGCCAAAAGGGGGACTTGGCGATGTCCAAGGTAAATTAACATATCCAGAAGAACTCACTACGCCTCGTTACTTTGGTCTCCACGGGATCCACCATGTTTGATTAGCTTAGTATCAGTTCCTAGCCTACGACCAATTTCATGCCGTAATGCTTCTTTCCTGTATTCGTTGTGGCCAGGTGTGACGATGTGTGTCCTTGCAACAAATGTGTTCAGAGAAGAAACAAGGACGGAAGGCAGAGACGAGGGAAAAACCAGCCCAGGTTATTTCTCATTTGTCTCAACTGTGCATCCTGTTCCCGCGCATGGTCGGACTTGCCGTAGGTGATGTAACCGAGTCTTTCTTGCCGTGTCCTGCAGGGAGGAAACCAGTGGATTCGAGTTTGGTAAGGGAATTGAAGACCTTCACATTAGTGGCTCCTCGCATGCTGATGACGACTCTACTCCTGGGGTGTCTCACACTGGAAGAGCTTCATCAAGTGGGTGATGGTGAGACTTGACCGTCTTATTTTCAAAATCCACGTTCTCACTGACTCTTTTTCGCTGGCAGGCACTCCTCAAGATAATGAAGCATATGAAGGCGCTCTCGGCTTGTGTGCTATCTTAAAGAAGGTCGTGCCTTTGGTGCTCTTTCTGGATGCGTTCTAGGCACCCCTTGACTCAGTCATCATACTAACCTACTACATAATTTCTCACTTTCAGGAAGAGGAGGAGGATTCACATTCCCATTCGCCATCGGATTCAAGTGACGTGCCAACGCCTCCACAGCAGCAAAGCTCTGGGACCTCTCAAGATCCGAGACTCCCTGCATCAGATGATCAACCAGCCGTTAATAGTTCTGAGGAGAAAGACGAGCACTTATCTCCCACTGAGCTGCCGTGGACCCCTAGGAAGAGCAGGTCGGCTTTCAAACGCGATTCTTCAGCAGCTAGATCCAAGGACGTTCTTCAAGAGTGCCATTCACAAGCCTTTGCTCGAAGAGAAAAAGTGACGGTACGATTTGACTTCATAGTATATCTGTCGCTCTGATTTTTTTTTACAGCATCTCATATACTTTTTTCTTCTCTTGCAGGATGTGCATGCTGTGCCACATCAAGTTGAGGAGAACTTGGAACTTCCATCAAGGCACAAGCTGCCCAGATACTCCGTTGATGAGGAGCAGCAACCAACGTTCCTGCATGACAGCCATTTGCCATTTCCTGGGATTCGTGGATCCAGGAGCTTTACATACCAGATGCAGGATAGCACTCTCGGTTGCCGTTCAAACGTCGGACATAAGGATGGGCTACCCAAGCCGGGACTGAGGCTTTCCGGGTCTGCAGACGCATTTCAATATGCCATGGGGGAAGGTGTGAGCAATTCACCTGCCAATGAGCGCTTATTTTCTGTTGGAAGACTGCAAGATTCTATTTCCCCTCGCTCGGCGTCTGTTCCGCACACTCCAGTTCGACGAAAGCTTTCTCGCAAAGGCATTCCATCAAGGGGTGATTCGGGCATTGATTTCAGCCCGCTAATTGAGCCATCTTCCCCATGCAAGGCGGTCAGCCCATGTGTTCTTCCGCGAACAGCAGCTGAGCTTCCTGTGATTAATCAACATAGAATGAGTGTATCAGCTGCTGGTTTGGAATCTGACGAGCATTGTGCAAGCGAAGTCTCCATTGAGAAGCTGGAGACACTTCGACCTGGTAGCAGCAAGGAGGATGACGCGACTTCGTCCTTCTCAAAAGATGTACAGTTGCGTCTTTTTGAAGACAGGAAGGCATCAACTAGTCCTGGGACACCCCGCATGTTGAAAGCAGAGCCGTACAGTGTATGTGCTGGTCCTTCAACCAGCAGACTCGCTGCTCTGGGTACTCATGACAAGATGCGTTCAGACAAGAAAGTTGCAGCTGCTGTTGCGGCAGCATTGAGACTGTGCGTACCTGAGATTGCTGGGTCGGGGTCCTCTTTCAAGACATCTAGTTCGTCTAGTGACTGTTCTGAAGGGCGCTGCCATGCAAGTCCTGGCACTGAGGAGTCTCCACCTAAAGCAGGGAAGGAGGAGAATAACACAACCTCTGACCTTGCACTTCGTTGTCACATGAAGCTTCCATGTGGAATGATTAGGAATCAGGAGATTCTCAGCGCTTCTCCTTACAACCTTATCCAGGAGGGGCTCACTAATGATCCCTGGAGGGTCTTGGTCGCATCGATGCTTCTGGAAGGTCATCCTTCTAATATGGTATGTTATAAGTTCGCCAGTTCGGTTTGGTCAGTGTCATAGCATGGCAACTAACATCCTGGTACCGTCTATCATGGCAGGTGCGGCTTGGAGTAAGGAGGTTGTTTCAGAATCTTCCTTCAGCAGATGACGTCTTATCTTCTGACATTCAGACACTGCAACAAATCGTATGCAGTGCAGGATTTCATGAGAGATGGGCTAAGAACTTGCTTATATTCACCCGAGAATTCTCATCAGGAAACTGGGCTCAGATAACTGACCTTCCAGGAGTTGGCAGGTACGTATGTTGGTTGCCTTGTCTGATTTAATCCACCGTTTTTGTAAATTTGACTGACACTGTCGTACTCACCAGATATGTTGCAGATGCATATGCTATCTTCGTTGAGGGTCAACTCCAGTCAGTACATCCAACAGACAGCCTCCTCCAGAAGTATCAGAGGTGGGCACTGTGCCATAAATAGTGTATTAAACCATTTTCATTTGCTGTAATTAGTTCAGCTACGAATGTTGATAGCTATCTGGTTGTGAATATTGTAAACTTTGTACATATTTCATTATTATTTGCACTGATCCTTAAAAAATAGTTTTAACTCCTCCTGAAGGCATAGACACAGTAATCATGTTTTGAAATGTAGCTGACATATAGCAGTGTCAAGACCACCACAAGGAGATAGTGTAGCTGCCATGCCACCTATCAGGGTCAGGACTCCTTCGGTGAGAGAAGTGCGGGATGGAAAAAGATTGCGAAGATTGTTCCACTATAGTTAAGAATAAACACAGAGAAACCCGTACTCAATTTAAATGCATCTAGTCGGAGTAGATGCGGCACTCGTCAGCATCAGGGTTCTCGTCGCAGTACTGCTCAAGGGGATCGGAAGACTTCTGGGCCTCCTTGTGCGAAATAGCGGCAGAGATCTCCTCAACCTCGTCCCACGCCACAGCACACTCCGCAGATCCCGAGTTCGGGTCTGCGCAGACGTTCTTGGCCTCCTGAATCTTCTCCTCAATGACCTTGTCAAGCTCAGGTTGCGAGCTAGCGAACACCTTCAACGACCGGGAAGGAGTAGCGCGCACGGTCACGGCGCTCTTCACGGACTGAGAGAAGGCAGTTGACCGCCTCAGGCCGCAAGGGGCGGTGGGGGCAACAACAAAGGCGAGGGAGGCCATGGTTGGCTAGAAAACTTAGGACAAGGAAGAAAAGTCTGGAGCTGTGAGTGAAAGACCGCACTAACTGATGATGAAATGTGATGAGGTCAATTGACAGGAGACGGTGGAAGCTGGGGGTATTGGCGAAGGAGTGGTGGAAGAGCCGGCGAGAGATGATGGGCTAGAATGGTGGGATAGGTGAATGATGATCTGGGGACGTGGAGAGGTTCAGGGCAGAATAGCTATGACGTGGAATATATTTGCCACATAGACCACCTTGCCAGGCAAGCTGACATGGCGATCCCACCGCCTGACATATAATATCAGAGTTGTGCTCTTCCCACCATCCGAATGATATTACCCCAGACAAATTGGTGTCAGGTTTGCACCCAATTACGCTCGGGCACGCTATCATCTACACCCTACAACGTGGATGCTTGATCCAAAGTATTCTTTCCCTTCTTACATCGGAAAATAGTTCGGTACTGTATGGGCCAACATTGCATACATGAAACAATTCCTGTTCATACAATTTCCAGAGACGTACTATTCAGATGATAGATATTAAGACAGCAGTATAATTAAATTACAACATATCCTCGATCTATTGCGTAAAAAAGGAAAATCCCTTCCCCAGGGGGCTCAAAACAGCATTTGCTCATCATGCTTCTCTTTATATAATATAGAACTAGACACTGCTTGCGGTACAACTGCTGGTACTGGGTTAGTTTGCAGAGGGTTTCCTCGTCACCATGACGCCAACAACAGCAATTCCTTCCCAAGATCACTCATCCAAATCCTGCGTTCCTCTGACATAATCGACGGCTTCCGCTGACCTTTTCAAGTCAATCGAATTCGTCGAAGCGAGCTTGAAACCCTTTGAACCCGGGTTGACCCTAGCTGCCTCGATCCGCCCCGCGTTCCCATGTTTCAGAGCGTGGTTGCGTGCTTCATAGAGGGCGGAGTGCACAAGGCGCGGATCCAGGTGACAACTTAGAAAGCTATTGCAAGTTTGGACCGTTGGGATCTTTATACTGTCAACCATCTGTTCTTAAACCTAATATGCTCGACTTAGTTACAAATAAGAGAGCCTGGCTGGGAGATGAAACGGAGTGCGCGAGTTCCTTGTATAAGATTCAGAATCAGACAATCAGTTCAGTTGGTTAGCGTTTGCATTGCACGGAGCCAGTCGTGTTTGATGGCCAGCGTTTGCATGAATTCTCTCATAGCATGAGAACTTCAGAAACCTCTCCATCCTCTCCATCCTCTCCATCCTCCACCTGTCGTTTCCGTCTCCCCGCTCTCCTCCCCTCCCTCGGCACCCCTCCGCCAGGTGTGGAAGCGGAAGCTTGTGCAGTTAGGGGGGGAAGTCGCAACAGGCCCCACGGAGGCATGTGTCACGCACGTGCTGGCCGCTGATTGGCGGAAGGTGCAGCAAGCCACCTCGTGGCAAGTCCCTCCACCAGGAGTGAGTGGTTGGTTTTTTCATCAACGTGTCGGATTTAGATTGAGCAAATCCAGAAGTGTTACCTTGGGATTGAGTGGGGTGTGATTGGGGTGTGAGTAGCCGTTTACCATAGTTATTGGGGTGTTGTTTCCGGGGGTGAGTGGAGGTGAGTGACTCATAGTCTTTAGAGCTCTGGCTCATTGTGTGTGGAGGTCTCTTACTTGTTCATTGCCCTCTAGTCATTGTCCCTAGGACGTGTTTCCGCTATTCGTTTCTCTTGTTTGCGCTGCTCTCTCAGCCTGTCACCACCAGGTGGCAATGGGGTTTCTGTGGATAGAGAGCTGTCTCAAGAACGGCTTGCGCTCGCGCCTTCCTTTTCTGAGCGAGTCTAATGTTCTGAATCCCCTCTTGGTTCCCTGTGTGTGTCCGGCTCCCGCATCATGCCACTGCCAGGTGACAGTGGTGGAGTTCGCATGGATAGAGACCTGTCTCATGCACGGGTCTTGCTCTTCAAGACTTCCTAGAACCCGCTCGTACCATTCCTGATATTCCTCTTTCTTCCCCATGCGCACTGCTTTCACGACCTGCCACTTCCAGGTGGCAGTGGTGGAGTTCGCATGGATAGAGAGCAGTCTCAAGCACGGGTCTCGCCTTTCCGAAGCTAAGTTCTTGCTCCGCTCCTCACACAGTGCCTCACACAACGCCTCACAGGGCCCGCAGTCACACCAAGGCGGAGCTGCATGCGTTGCGGGTGTTAGCCCCTTTGATGCTGATTTTCCTGCTGGCAGGGAGGTCAAGGGGGTTTCTGAGCGAATCAGGAATGGACACGTGGACGCTGCAGGTGACAGCGCGGGGAGAGATGAGGGGGGTGCGAGGAGTGGTGGGGGGGAGTGGAAGGATGAGGAAGGAAATGGGGGAGCTTCGGGTTTGACCTTGGCTCGACAGTTGCCGGAGGGGAGGATAGGAGGGAAGGAGGAGGAGGGGAGTGATGAGGAGGAAGAAAATGGGGCGGCGCTGGGTCGTGCTTTCGCCCAAGGTGGGCGGCAGGATTCGGAGCTTTCTGAGGAGGAGAAGGCGTTTTGGATGGAGGTGATATTTGAGAGTGCAGCTTGGGCGGCAGTTGCGGGGGAGGAGGAAGGGGGCGGGCGCGAGGGGGGGAGTGGGGGAGGGTATGGGGGGAAGAGGGGATGGGGGGGAGGAGGCAGAGGGGGTGGGAAATGGGGAGGGGGAGGGGGGAAGCGGAGGTACGTGAGTGGTACAGACAGGTTTGGGGCGGAATGGAAGCGGTGGAAGGCAGGGGGGAAGGGGGAGAAAAGGGGAAAGGGGGGCAATGGGGAGAAAAGTGGGACAGGTGGCAAAGGGGGAAGGGGGGATGAGGAGATTGATGGGGTGGGGGGCATGGGTCTGTCTGGGCGGGTGATTCAGCTGGTGAGGGAGGGGGAGGAGGTTCTGGGTCACACCCAGGGGCTGTGCGTGGCTGGGGGGGAGAGAGAGGATGAGAAAGAGGGCAGGAGAGAGAATGAGGCGGAGAGGGGGCGTGGGGAAGTGGCGCAGAGGGGGAGGGAGGGCGGGACGGAAGGGGGGTCAGATGAAAACGCAGAGGATAACAGGATAGGCAGGGGGGAACGAGAGGAGGGGAAAAGAAGGGAGGAAGGGGAGAGGGAAAGCAGGGAGGGGAACGAGAGGGGAAGCAAGGAGGGGGACACACAGCATTATGACAGCTGTGAGCGCGCGTGTGGGGACTTGCAGGGATTCCCGTGCAGCTATGACAGTGCAAGCTCGCAGGGGCAACGAGATGGGTCGCAGTCTGCGTTGATTGAGCCGTGTGGGGACTCACAAGCGCATCAAAACTCACAGCAGGTCTCACAAAATGACTCACAAAGAGACTCACTGCAGGCCTCGCAAACGTGTCAGGACTCACAGCATGATTCACAACATGACTCGCATCAGGCCTCATGCCATGCCTCGCATCAAGAGTTGCAAGTCTCAGGGGTCGCTTCAGTTCCAGGGGTTGCCTCAGTCCCAGGGAATCAAAGGGCATTGGGGTGGGAGCGATTGCGAGGGCACGGGTGTTTCTGCCGGGGGCTGTACCTGCCGCCTGACCTGAATAAGGAGATTTGCCGCCAGATGAACGAGCTCAAGAACATCTACAAGGATGGTACGGTGCGGTGCAAAGTGGTGTGGTGTGTGGTGGGATTGGTATGGTGGGGTGTGCTTCCGCTGGGGGACGTGTCTACAAGAGGCAATGGCTCTATTCCCCCTGTTCTGTGCTCAAGACGCTGCCTCACAATCCACATCCGTAACAATCCCCTCTATTTGCCCCCCCCCAGGCCTGGGCGACGAGTGGCGGTGGTTCAGCTATTACAAGGCCCGCAGCGTGCTCGAGAAGCTGCCAAGCAATCCACATCCTCTCCATTCCCTCTTCTTTTTCCCCATCACCTCCCATTCAGGCCTGGGCGACGAGTGGCGGTGGTTCAGCTACTACAAGGCCCTCAGTGTGCTTGAGAAGCTGCCCTCCCGTTCCCACTTCCTACCTTTTTTTTCCTTCCCCCCCTCTCCTCTATTCCCTCTCTGCCTGTCACGGTGTCACCTCCCAGGCCTGGGCGACGAGTGGCGGTGGTTCAGCTACTACAAGGCACTCAGCGTGCTTGAGAAGCTGCCCTTCCGCATCCGGTCTGCTCAGCAGGTGCAGGGGCTGCCCAGCATAGGCTCATCCCTGCAGGGCAAGGTGAGATGGGAGCACGGTGAGGGAATCCACAGATTCAGAAGCTGCCCTTCCGCGTCTGCTCTGCCCAGCAGGTGCAGGGGCTGCCCAGCATAGGGTCTTCACTGCAGGGGAAGGTGAGTGTGCAGAGGCAGATGCTTTTGTAGCAGCATTGTCGTCACAGCTCAGCCCAGCAGGTGCAGGGGCTGCCCAGGATCGGGTCTTCACTGCAGGGCAAGGTGAGTGCAGAGGCAGATGCTTTTGTAGCAGCATTGTCGTCACAGCTCTGCTCAGCAGGTGCAGGGGCTGCCCAGAGCATAGGGTCTTCACAGCAGGGCAAGGTGTGTGGGAGGCGGGAGAGGGAACAGAGGGAGATGTTAACATAGGTAGCTCAGTTGTCATTTCTGCTCCACGCAGCACGTGCAGAGGCTGCCTGCCATAGGTTCTTCACTGCAGGGCAAGGTGAGTGGGAGGATGGAGAAAAACGTTAAGGTGATCTATTCGCTGACATGTATGAAGATGAGAGAGGAAGGAGATGGTTATCTGGGAGCCATGCTTGTTTGGCGTCGGTTCACCTTGCATATGCCTTTAACATTGCACGTTTGCCACCCTTGTTTTGTGCATGAGTCCATGTGTGCATGTGTGCTTGGTTCTGCCCACGTGCATGCATGGTGCTATTTGCATGCAGATTCAGGAGATACTGTCCTACGGCATGATCAAGAAGCTGCGGGCGTATCAAGCAGACGACATGGTGAGGTGAATGTATGAAACGAAATAATTGGGAGGGGAGGGTGGAGAGTGAGTGAGGCAGGCAGGCAGGATCCTTGCTCCCTACCTATTCCCACTGCTGCCATTGCGACCGATGGGCCCTCGTCCGCGCATGCTCACGCTGCTCGCACCTATAAGGGGCCACCAGCGTGAGTGACTAGACCAGTTTGACAACCGCGTCTACTCTTCCGGCTTCTGAGACGTCTCAAAAGTCATGCTCACGCTGCTCGCACCTATGATGTCTATTCCATCTCCCTCAGGTTCGCCCGCCGCTTCTACTCCGCCGGCCACCGCTCGCTGCACCAGCTTCCGTTGCTGCTGCCTTACATGCCGTTCCTTCTCTTTGCCCCAAGCCCCCCTCCGTTACAGGTTCGCACCCTCTCTCTTTTCGGCACGGTCCGCGGAGTTGGCCCCCGCACCGCCCGCCGGTTCTACTCCGCTGGCCACCGCTCGCAGCACTGCCTCTCATGCATTCAATCTCCACACCGTCCCTTCCTTCTCTTTCTTCCCCTCTCTCCCTCCCCCACAGGTTCGCACCCTCTCTCTCTTTGGCACGGTCTGGGGCGTGGGCCCCCGCACTGCCCGCCGATTCTACTCCGCAGGCCACCGCTCGCTTCGCCAGCTGGCGGCTGATCCCGGCCTCACGCCAACTCAGCGAATTGCGCTGTGGTTCCACGAGGATATGAACAAGCGCATCCCGAGGGATGAGGTGGCCGGGATGGCAGCTCTGGTGGTGAAGGAAGGAGAGGCACTTCAGCCAGGCGTGAGTGTTGCTTTACGGTGTTGTTATTGAAGCCAGTGCTGCATGCGTGCGACCAGGGTTGCTGTAGCTTTGTTCGCCATGCCACAGCAAGGTGGCTCCACCAGAGCTGTTTGGGAGTCACTTTTGAAATCTCTCAAAAGTGACTCTTAAGTTGCTGTAGCTTTGTTCGCCATGCGGTGGCGGCGCCACCAGAGCTGCAAGATGGAATGATTGAAACGAATGCGGTGGCGGCGATGGCAGCTCTGGTGGTGCAGGAGGGGAGGCGCTGCAGCCTGGGGTGAGTGCTGCCGGGGGTGAGTGCTGCCGGGGGTGAGTGCTGCCGGGGGTGAGTGCTGCGGGGGTGAGTGCTGCCGGGGGTGAGTGCTGCTGGGGATGAGTGCTGCCGGGGGTGAGTGCTGCCGGGGGTGAGTGCTGCCGGGAGTGAGTGCTGCCGGGAGTGAGTGCTGCCGGGGGTGAGTGCTGCCGGGGGTGAGTGCTGCCGGGGGTGAGTGCTGCCGGGGGTGAGTGCTGCCGGGGGTGAGTGCTGCCGGGGGTGAGTGCTGCCGGGGGTGAGTGCTGCCGGGGGTTCTGCTTGTGGCTAGTCTTGTTTGTGCGTACCGCTCATACCCCTCACGCGCATGTGTGCAGATCTCCATTGTGTGTGGCGGGTCGTATCGCCGTGGCAAGGCGACGTCAGGCGACATGGATTTCATTATCACACACCCCGATGGCACAAGGTGTGTGAGTGTTTGTGTGTGTGTGTGTGTGTGTGTTTGTGTGTGTGAGTGTGTGTGTGTGTGTGTGCGTGTGTGCGGGTAGGAGTGCATGAGTTTGTGCGGGTAGAGGTGCATGAGTGTGTGGTGGATGTGGTCTGTACCGCAGAAGGTGAATAGGTGTGTGTGTGTGTGTGTGTGTATCCGCTCCACCTCCCACAATGCATCCTTTCCTTCCTGCAACGCTTCTACTCCTCCCTCACATCTCCACCTCACCACAGCCACTGCGGCTTCCTGGAGAGGCTGGTGGGTGGGTCGACTGAAGCACGTGGGCTTGGTTGGTGACAGAAGGCCTGGTGGTCCCCTCCTTCTTTCCTGTCCCTGTGTGGTCCCCCCAACCCCACACCTCCGTCTCATCTCACCACAGTCATCGGGGCTTGGTGACAGAGGACCTGGTGATCCCCTCCTCCTCCTTCTCCTTCCGATCCCATCCCGCAGTGTGCCCTCCACATCGCCCTCACATGTAATTGCAGCCACCGCGGCTTCTTGGACAGGCTGGTGGGTCGACTGAAGCTCGTGGGCTTCCTGACAGAGGACCTGATGGTGGGCACGCACCACTCACAGCAGGTGATGCGAGGTTGCAAGGCTGTGAGATTGTAGGGTCGTGAGGTTGTGAGGGTACTGGAGGAACGTAGCTTTGGAGAAGCTGGTGGGTCTACTGAAGCACATGGGCTTCCTAACAGAGGACCTGGTGGTCGGCACACACCACTCATAGCAGGTGAGCTTTCATCAATGCAAGGGGGGCTGTGGGGGCCCGAGAGGGACGCGAGTCAGGGGGGGCTGATGTGTCGCTTGAAGCACGTGGGGTTCCTAGCAGAAGACTTGATGGTCGGCACACACCACTCGCAGCAGGTGAAGTGCACCCAGTGTTTGTGATGTTAGGGCTTGTGAGGCTGTGTGGGCAACTAAGGAGCATAGGTGTGTTGCGTCCGGTGTTTCGTCTGAAGCACGTGGGCTTTCTAACAGGGGACCTGATGGTGGGCACACACCACTCGCAGCAGGTGATGCACGCTTAACGCCCAGGTGCATGTGAGAGGGTGTGAGGTGCAGTAGGCGGCTCAACCGAGACACGCGATGAGTTTGGTGACAAACGGAAGACCTGGTGGTGGGCACACAACATTCGCAGCAGGTGACGCGCTCTCACTACTCGAGCATGAGAGGTGCAGGGTGCATGTGAGGTTAGGCGTTGGAGGTAACTTCGCCACTGGTCTCACCACTCGTTACAACCCTCCCTCCTTCCCTCAACAGCCGCACAACGAGGGCAAGGGCGTGGACACTTACTTTGGGCTGTGCAGGCAGGCAGGCAGGGAGGCAGCAACGGTATACTAACTGAAAGACACCTTTCTTCCTTCCCTCGTCTCCCTCCTTCCCCCCAACAGCCCCACGGGGAGGGCAAGGGCGTGGACACTTACTTTGGGCTGTGCAGGCAAGCAGGCAGGGAGCAACGGCACCGGATAGACTTCAAGGTACTGCCACTGGCGCCACTGGCGTCACTGCTGTGTAATACGCTTAAGGCGCCTAAGTCACCTTCTGAGGCGACTCAACACAGCAATGCAAGCAGGCAAGCAGGGAGCAGTGGCACAGCATTGATTTTAAAGTGCTGCTGCTGGCGCCACTGTTATTGCAGCGTATTCCTCCTGCGATTGCTGGAAATTCAGAAGTGGGCTGCATATGTGGATGGTGGTGTGGTGTTGCCATGGAATGCTTTTGTTTCCTCATATGTGATATGATTATGATTTTACTTACAGGTGTATCCATGGGAGCAGTACCCGTTTGGGCTCATACAGTGGACGGGCAACGATGTTCTCAATCGACGGTGAGGATGGTAGGATGGATGGTCGGGGGCTGGGAATAGACGGCTAAGATGGTGAGAAGGCAGAAATAGCCAACAAGGAGGGTGGGGAGATTGGAATGGATGGCCAGGATCGCAAGTTGTTCGCCATAGGCGGGGATGGCTGCGCGATACTCATGCATCTTACGGTAAGGGCAAGAGCATCCAGAGGACGTGGTTCGACACATTCTGACATCCAACAGTAAGAGCATCCTTGTCTCTCGACCGTAGTTCAAACACATTCAACACATTACCCGTGCCCCCCTTGCCCCCCACCCATCCAGCATGCGGCTGTTTGCAGAGGCCAAGGGGTACCGACTGGACGACCATGGGCTTGTGCTGCGCGATGCTGTGAGTTGATATAGTTTCTGAGGCACCCAAAGAATGCAATGCAATATGCTGTGTCACATGCTTCCCATCCCATGCCTCCCATCCCATCACATGCTGTGTGCTGTGCATCACTGCAACCCCACAGTCTTGATGCCTCGCATCCCCTACACGATTGCACACATGCTATCCTTACCCCATCCCCCCCATCGTAATTGTTTCCATGTCATTCCCAATTGATATAGTATGAGTCAACTCAGGTTGCCAGGATTCCCTAAGACATGCTGTGCCCACCCCTTACCCCCCAACAGGTACCAGGCACAGCAGCAGGCAAGTCAGTTTCATGCGGGAGTGAGAGAGCAGTGTTTGACTTCTTGGGACTGCCGTGGCTGGAACCTCACGAGCGCAACTTGTGACAGCATGGCAGCATAGAATGCCCAAGCAGGCACTGCAGCTGGCAAGTCGGTGCCGTGCGGGAGTGAGAGGGCGGTGTTTGACTTCTTGGGACTGCCGTGGCTGGAACCTCACGAGCGCAACTTGTGACAGCATGGCAGCATAGAATGCCCAAGCAGGCACTGCAGCTGGCAAGTCGGTGCCGTGCGGGAGTGAGAGGGCGGTGTTTGACTTCTTGGGACTGCCGTGGCTGGAACCTCACGAGCGCAACCTGTGACAGCGCAGGTTGAAAATGAATTCCTTGTACCGTACATGATGCTGTTGCTGATACTGCCTCTGCTGCAATGCCCTGTTGAATTCCTCCTGGGACTGCAACCTCTGACAGCACTGGGTTTAAATAAATTCCTTGTACAAGTAAATAGCTGAAGCAGGCCAGTGGTCCAGTGGACTAAATCATAGCTGCTTACTAACCATACATCCAATGGATAATGGGCACTAGCACACCAACCAACAAACCCAAAATTCCTGCCTAGCATTCCCTGCAGCATCCCACTGTGTCCCTGTGCGCCTGTTGCACCCCTAGGTGATTCAGGCAGCTCAGGCAGATCAGGCACTTCAATTCAAACCCTCTCAGGCAGATCAGACAGCAGGCAGTTCAGGTGGTATCGGCGGTGTGAGCGGTTTCATTCATCTCAGCTTGCAGCTGGGGGGTTTAAGCACCTTGGAGGCGATCTTCTCCTTGGACTTGTGCAGCTTGAGCACCTTATTCACGATCTTCTGCTCCTCCACCAGGAATGCGCGGATGATTCTGTGGAAGGGCATGCAGCGAGGGAGACGGAGAGAAACGGTGAAGAGAGTCGCAGGGGCGGTGATGGGCAGACGAGAATGAATGGAGAAGGAAAGAGTGGGAAACGGCGGATTATGGCGTTGGAAGGAGGTAACGGGGGGAGGGGAATAGGGCAGAGGTGAATTGGGGTGGGGGGAGGAGGAGGTGCGTAAATGGAAGGACAGAACGTGGGCTCAGGGCAGAATGACGATGGCAGGGAAAGGGTGATGAGACAGTGGGGCAAACGAGTGCTATCAGTGAGCTTCCTCACCCTTCCTCCCCCTTCCCTCCACCTTCCTTCCGCCATCCTTCCACTTCCCCTGTCTGATTTTTTCCCCTTCGCCGCCTTACCGCTCCCCCTCCCCTTCTGCATCCTTATGCATTCCGCCTTTCGCTCGCTGGCGCCTCTTTCACCCGCATCATTTCTCGCACCCCGCGCCTATCCTCTTCTGTCTTACCCCGTGCGACCCTTCCCCTCCTTCCCCTCCCCTTCCCTCCCCTTCCCCCCTTCCCCTCCCCTTCCCTCCCCTTCCCCCCCCTTCCTTCCCCTCCTTCCCTCCTTCCCTCCCCTTTCATTTCCCTCCTTCCCCTCCCCTTCCCTCCCCTTCCCCCCTTCTCTCCCTTCCCCACCATTTCCCTCCTTCCTCTGCCCTTCCCTCCCCTTCCCCCCTTTCCCTCCCCTTCCCTCCCCTTCCCCCCCGTTCCTTCCCCTCCATCCCTCCTTCCCTGCTTCCCTCCCCTTTCATTTCCCTCCTTCCCCTCCCCTTCCCTCCCCTTCCCCCCTTCGCTCCCTCTTCCCCACCTTGCTCCCCGCGCCTCACCTCTCGCGCACGCATTTCCCGCGGATGGCGCCGCCGTAGATGCGCGTGGCGCCCTTCTGCTTGCGCGACATCAGGTTGCGCGTGAGCTTGTGCGCGGGAAGCGCGGGGACCTGCGCCGATGGGGGGAACCGCAGGCAGAAATGCGAAGACGCGGGCATGGGAGCGAAACCCTCAGACGTGCTGAGGAAGTCTTTCGAGTCGACTCAAATGTCGAAACCCTCGAATGCTGGGAGATTAGCGGAGAGGGGGAGGAGGGGGGAGATGAGGGGGGAGCGGGAGGGGGGGGAGGATGAGCGGAGAACGGGGGGTGGGGACGAGAGAGAAGGGGAAGGAAATGGGGGAGGGAGGGGAGGGGGGAAAGCGATGGGAGGGGAAGGGGAGGGGAAGGGGGGGGGGGGACGGGGGGGGGAAACGGGGAACGAAGGCGGTCCGCCACGTTGCCTCTCACCAGTCTTCTGTCACGAGGTGCAAAACGGAGAAGGGGGTTCAACGAGGAGCCTCAGCGTTACCGCTCGCCACAGCGTCGTCTCTCGCCACGGAAAAATGGCCTCCCGCCAGGTTCTGACCATCTCATTCCCGCTACCTTCGCCTCCCCTCTTTCTCCCCCAACCATCGTGTGCAAACGCGATCCTGAGGCTTTCCAGAAACGCGCCATCCTGAGGCTTCCTCCGCCTGCCTAACGGACCCAGGCGACGCACTGAAGCGACGCTAACAAGCATCTGAAATAAATACTGAGAATGAGTCCGCAAACTGAGATCGCTACCTTATCCAAACAACGTCAGGTATAAACAACTAGTGACTACCAGTCAAACGCCTGAATCGCGCAACTTACACCACGCCATAAAAAAACCCGATATGAATGATAGTTACGGTAGCAGACGTGTGAAGGACCACGGATAGCGCGACTGTCATTAGCTAGACTTAAGTCGCCACTGACACTAAAGTCGCGGCTTTAGGATCAAGACGAAAGGCTAACCTATTACCGAGTAGATCTGACGAATGCGACGCGAAACTAATCCAAGGTGCCTCAATCTGACGAAACTAACTTTAGGTAATCCAAGCCACCCTTGACGAGCATAACTAGGCAATGAGGGTTCGAAGAATGAGGTGCAGGAGATGGAAGAATGTGGGTAATATATTGCACTGCCTGCGTCAGCAGGCAGTGCAATGAGTCAGCGGGCAAGAAAAAAAATAAACCCCCATCGGAAGGCATGCCATCCGAGGGAGCCTCAACCCTAAAATTTTAGGGTTAAGGCTCCCGAATGGCATGCAGTCCGAATGGGTTTTAGTTTTTCTGCCCGCGGGCAGAATGCTGACTCACCCTGTAGCGTCGTTTAGCGAAACGGTAGCGCTACCGAGCGCTACCGACGCTACCAAGTGTAATGTATTGAGGTGGATGATTGAGGTTATTGATAAGGTTGTGCTAGCTGGCTGTGCCACGATGGCAAAAACGCCCTTCACTGCTATTGGCTCGCGCAAATTTCTTGTCAAGCATCCCTTGCATTTTCAGCTGCCCAGCACGGATTGCGAGCAGCAAAACCGGTTGCGAGGGCAGCTGAATAGCTGCTTGTTCAATCACGCACAAATTTCTGGACCATCCCAACCAACGCCGTCCCGCACGTCACGCAGCAAAATTTCGTCGGCGAGAAGAGAATAATTACCAAACATATTCCACAGCTCCTCCTAACAAGTTCCAGCCCGCCCTAGGTCCATCCGTGCCAAACATATTCCATCCATCATCCAAACCTGGGTGGATGCCAAAACTCTACAACAGCAATACGCGCCATCGACAGTTCGATTGCAACAAACTAGACGAAACCAAACTAAACCTGCATGTGTGAACCAAGGCACAGCCCAACTTGAGAACAATTGTGTGTGTGTTTCGAACCCAATCTAAACTTGGGTAGGTATTGGATCCGCTCGTACAGCGTACAAAAATTGTGTCGCCGCAAAAAGTCCGCCGCTCGAATTTCCCTCCTGAGGCATCCAGTGTCTGCCGTCATGGGCGGGGAAATTTGTTGGCCCACAATTACACACACCATCACCATGCCAGGCCACGATGCAACATCCATACCATATCATGGCTCAAAGCAAATCGCACCGTTCAAGGAGATACTCCACCACCATCTCCAACTATTCATACTGTTCCTACAGATATCCGCGCTATGGCCGCCAAATTTACAGCACAGCATTGCGTCGCACCGCACTGCACCCAGCAAACGGAGCCAAACTGGGTAAACATTTCACCAGTGCCACACCTCAATACTTCCTGACACCCACCACAATTGGTTTGAAAACATCACCATGCCATGCCATGAAGCCACATCCATACCATGGTTCAAAGCAGATCGTCACCGTTCGAGGCGTAACTCCACCACCATCCAAGTGTTCATATTGTTCCAAGTATCCGCGCCGTAGCCGCCAATGCAGCACCGTGACGCGTCGCACCGCACTGCAGCCGAGCCAAACTGGTTAAACATTTCAGAACTTCCACACGATATGGTTTGAAACCGCTCTACTTCGCGCGCAGCGGCCGCCACCCAACCCGACTAAGCGACTCTTGCCAGGGAAAGGTCTAGTCGGAAGAACATGGATCACCGAGGACGCTTCTACTCGTGTTTCAGCGCGCCACCGCTTCTCCCACCAGCTCCATCATTCCCACACATCCCTTCCATGACTACTTATGAACCATTGTGTTCACCGAACAAGCTAATCTTTCCGAAAGGCTTCCGGCTAGTACTGGCGAAAACCCAATGGCACGCGGCAGCGTTGAGAGTCTATAGAGTGGGTGTCGGGACGGGTTGGGTAGAGAGTCGTGAGAGAGCGAGCTGCCTGCTGCCTGGGTTGAACCTTTACTACGCTAGTTGCCTGAGGAAGATTCTGTTCCACGGCGAGTCTCTCGAAACCAATCTCCACGGCCGGGCGAAATCTTCACGGCGGAATGGTGGTCCTTCTCGCGTGGCGCATGGTGGCGGAATCTCTGCCGTCGGACGGCGCTTCTCCCATCACACGACGAACGGCGCACGGTTTTATTTCTCTTCTTCGTCATCGTTCCTTTCAGCTTTTTTCCAGCTTTATTATCATTCCGCTTGTTCGTTTCTTATTCTTATCGTTCTCGAGATCACTTACTTACTTGGATTATTCTTGGTGCGTTCAGCAGGAGGAGTCCAGGAGGAGTCGCGCTGGTGGTGTGCGAAGCGTGTGGAGCGAGGAGCACAACTTCACGGCGCGACGTTCGCGGCGGAATGGTGGTCCTTCTCGCGTGGCGCATGGTGGCGGAATCTCTGCCGTCGGACGGCGTTTTTCCGAGGACGACGCACGGCGCACGGTTTTATTTCTCTTCTTCGTCATCGTTTCTTCAGTTTTTTTTCAGCTTCATTGTTTTTTAGCTTGTTCGTTTCTTATTCTTAACCTTCTCGATATCACTTACTTACTTCGTTTTTTCTTGGTGCGTTCAGCAGGACGAGTCCAGGAGGAGTCGCGCTGGTGGTGCGCGAAGCGGGTGGAGCGAGGAGCACACGTACGACTTCACCTTGGTAAGTGTCGTCCATTTTTGGTGTTTTTATTTATCCGATTTACTTACGTCTTTCGTTTTCACTTTGTGCGTGTTAGGCAGGCGGAGCAACCAACGAAGATGAAGACCGACCAACGAGACAAGACTTCGCCTTGGTAAGTTTTGTCCATTTTTAGTGTTTCTGTTTATCCGATTTACTCACGTCTTTCATTTTCTCCTTGTGCGTGTTAGACAGACGGAACAACGAAGGTGAAGACCGAAGAACGAGGAGAGAAGACTTCGCCTTGAAGCTGGAGGAGTATGGAGCAAGGACTCTCGCGGCGGACCTCTCTCACACGGTAGTGTTGTATTTTTTTCCTGATGGCTTTGTTTTATAAGATACTAACGTCTTTTTAAGTCGTTCTCTGTCGTGCAGGAAGTCGGGAGCTAAGGAGCAGCGCAAAGCGAGGATCGAACGAGGACCAACAAGGAGAAGCAAGGAGCAACGAGGAGCTTGACTCCCCGCTTCCCCTCCTTCCCTTTCTCAGAAGGTGGAGCAACAACTGCAGCAGCAGCAGCACATGGTTACCGGTGGGCCGTATAGGAGCGTCAGATCAGACCGTAGGAGCGTTAGATCAGCCACAGACTGGACAGACGAGGGCGGTGTGGGCTGGGTGGTTAGGCGATGGGGGACGCGACGCGACTGGGTGGGTAGGCGATGGGGACGCGACGCGACTGGGTGGGTAGGCGATGGGTTTCCTCCTCCTCTTTACTCCCGCCACTTTTTGTGGCTCACCGCGGCAACCTGACAACCTGACAACAGAGAAGCTACTTCAAGCTCCGAGGTGTTCTCCGCTCGCTGGCATTTACATTAATCCTACTAACCGTCCCTCCTCTTTGTTTTAGTGTTTTTCTTGCAGGTTCCCTAACGAAGGACCTCCACCTCATCGTGGTGTTAGGGTGAACGCTAGAGGCTTGTCCTCTAGCGGCCAAGAGGGGTCCATGCGAAGACCGAAGACCAAGGTCCATTGAAGACCTCTCCAAGCATCGAAGTTCAAGAGTCCAAGATCCAAGTTCCAGTATAGAAGATTCCACTTGAAGTTTTCTCTACATTCTAGAAGTTTCTGGAGCTGATATGTAGGAATCTTAGGTGGAGTTTAGATCTTTGTACGACTTCATCATTATTATTGAAGTTTGGTTTTGCTGTTTCAACTTTATTGAGTAAACTTAGTGCGTGTTCCTACGGGGCCCTTGTCAGACAACCTCTACTCAGACTCGCCCGAATCACATATTTCTCAGTGTAAGGCGAATTCGTATTGGACACTTTTCTAGTCTTGCAACGTGCGTGAAAAAATCAAGCCTGGGTGATGTGACACGTGGATCGCGAACAGCTTTCCTGTACTGCCCGAACCTTGGGGCAAGGGAGCTCAGTATGAGAAAGAAGCTAGGAACCGAATTTTACATTGTGGCATCCCAGAGAATCGTGAACAAATCGCTGGTGCCACAGTACAAATGTTGCCCGCTGAAAAAAACAACTGTAGCCTCATTCTCGACAAAACAGACCTGTGTTCAGCGCAGGGTCTCGGTGTGGTTTGCTGATGTGGCGCGATTCAATGGTTTCGCGCGCGCGGATTCTAATCGCGCAATACAAGTCTGAAATTCGGTTTTTATAACGGGAATCTCGAGTTTGCACAAATCTGATATGGGGTAGGCCTGACAAGAGGCCGTAGGAACACGCTCTTAATGGAACAAAAAAATCCCGGACCAGTCTTGGTGTTTGTTATTTTTAGCAGTGCAGTGAGCTTGCTTGCTGCTGATCCGCTATCAGGAATTCTATTCCATCACCTGGTCTCTCTGTGACCTGTAGGTTGGAAGCAAGCAAGCAAGCAAGGTGGTTTTCAAGTCAAAAACTAAGCAAAGCCAATAGCTGAAGCGGGACAGTGGCGTAAACCATACTTGCTTACTAACCTTACATCCAATGAACAATGGACATTAGCGCACCAACGAAACCAAAATTCCTGCCTAACATTCCCTGCGGCATCTCACTGTCTACGCGCCTGCTGCAGGAGCTTAACCCTGTGGTGGTAACCCAGGCACCTCAGGCACTTCAAACCCGTTCAGGAAGTTCAGAAACGTAGGCAGTTCAGGTGGTTTCGGCGGTGTGTGCAGCTTCATTCAGCTGAAAGGTTTAAGCGGGGACCTTGGAGGCAATTTTCTCCTTGGACTTCTGCAGCTTGAGCACCTTCTTTACGATCTTCTGCTCCTCCACCAGGAATGCGCGGATGATTCTGTTTGGCCATGTGATGTGTAGAGGAACAATGCAAAGAGAGAAGGTTAGGGTTAGAAGATGATTCTGTGCAAGGGGATGCAGCGAGGGAGGCGGAGAGAACCGTGAACAGAGTCGCAAGAGTGGTGATGGGCAGAGGAGAATGAATGTGAAGGGGAGAGCGGGAAACGGTGTACGGGGATCAGGGGACGGGGAATGGGGCAGGGGGGAATCGAGGAGGTGGGGGATGGGGGCGGAGGGGCGTAAGTGAAAGGACAGAACGTGGGCTCAGGGCAGAAGGACGTTGACCGGAAAATGGTGAAGAGGAAATGAGGTAAAGGAGTGCTATAGCGGTGAACTTGCTTTTCCCCTTGCATCAGCTTCCGCGTACAAGCATCTCTTCGTCTCCCCTTCCTCCCCCATCCCCTCTCGCTTCCCCCTTCCTCTCCCCTTCATTCTGCCTTGCTTCCGCCATCCTTCCGATTCCCCCTAACTGATCCCTTCCATTCCCCTCCGCCGCCTTTTGCATCCTTATGCATTCTACCTCCCGCGATCTGGCGCCTCTTTCACCCGCATCATTTCTAGCACCCCGCGCACCGCGCATCCCGCGTCTATCCCCTTCCGTCTTACCCCGTGCGACCCCCTTCCATTTCCCTCCTCCCCCTCCCATTCGCTCCCCTCCCCCCCCCCCCCTTTCTCTCCCTCTTTCCCACCTTGCTCCCCGCGCCTCACCTCTCGCGCACGCATTTCCCGCAGATGGCGCCGCCGTAGATGCGCGTGACGCTCTTCTGCTTGCGCGACATCAGGTTGCGCGTGAGCTTGTGCGCGGGGAGCGCGGGGACCTGCGCGCATGGGGGAACGCGCAGGCGGAACGGGAACGGGAACAAAACAGTCAGACGCGCTGCAGAACGCCGTGCGACACATAAGCGCGCGCGCGGGCAGCGGGACTTGACCATGTCGCGCGATATTAAACGTGATAAAGTTGACTGTTGAAGGGAAAAAAGTAGAGTGGCTGTAATAGTAGCGGGACTTACACCAGGGAGGATGCGCGGGCACTTGCCGCACTTGACGCCATTGGCTCTCTTGGCGATGTACTGGATTGTGAGCTTGCCTCCTGCTCTGGGTCAACGCGCAACAACAGAGCGGGACAAACATGGGCAGATGTAACATGGGCGAAACACAAGGGTTGAGAGGGGGATAAGCGGGAGAATATGAACGTTTTCTCGGCGTCCCAAGATTCCTCGATCAGGGGATAAGCGAGGGATATGGGTGGTGCAGTATTCGTTTCACGCGCCAGGCTATCTACATGCCGGATGCGAGGTGAAAATACGATCCATGATCAGACGCAAGGGAAAGCGCAGTCAGCCAGGAAGCAAAATTTCAGGTCTATTAGCGTGCGCTTATAAGGAGTCCGCAACATGCAGTCACATGGATACTGCGACGCAAGCGTGGCGTCCGCGGAACGATCTAAAACGGAACGAACAGGAGGTAATTCGGGTTTCCGAAGAAAATATCAGGTGAGAAAAGGATCGTGCCTGGGGTGCGGATGGTGCGGCGGAGGTTCGAGCGCGTGGCATAGGGGTGCCTGCGGCGGTATGTGAAGCGCTCGCCCATGGTGCTAGGGTTTCGTGCGTGCTACGCCGACGATGGCTGCCGCTGACGTGTCAAGAGGCTCCTACACCCGCGTGGGTGAGGTAAGGTTCTAGGGCGTAGTGAGAAGAGGCGAGGGAGAAAGAGGTAAGATGAAAAGTGAGAGGGGATTTGAAGGGGAGGGGAGGCTGGGCGTGCGCGGGCAGCACACGGGGGGGGAAGAGCATGGGGAGAAAGGGGAACGGAGGTGGGGGTGCGCAGGAAGCGGAACTGCAAATGGAAAGCGGGGAGGTTGTGAAGCGGGGTGTGGAAAGTGGGGAGGTTGGGGCGGGTTTCCGGGGCGAATGGGGAAGGGAGAGTTGCAAAAATGAGTTGGAATTTCTTTATTCTTTCAATTGGTGGAAGAGATGGTACATTTCAACAAGCATACAGACATGCATAAACCCTTCCTAGAAGTGTCTTACTACCTCAAACATCAAAAGACCATCGCCAAAACCCGAAACAAAGTATTGCTTCCTAAGACATCTACAGCCGCATGTCGACCAAGTAGGGCACGTCCACCCATGGTGCTCCCTCTCCAAACTCCTGCTCCCCACTCCCTCGCTCCACCCACTCCGCCTCGGACTGACCCAACGTGTATGCCGCCCGCAAAAGAATCACCCGAGCCTGTGCCTTCTGCAAAGCTACCCCTACCGCGGCTGTCAAGGACCCCACCAAGTATTCCGAGAAACCCGAGCTGTTGCCCCTTCCCACACCTTTGTTAAGAGCCACCTTTACTTGAACCTCCCCCTGCTGCCGTAACCACTGTCGAAAGCTTCCCCCCAAGCAACCCCAAGTCTCAAGAATCAACGGGAAGAAACGAACCCCCCTGTGCTGCCGCAGAAAAGGTTGATAATCCGTCGCCTTCCTCTTCTCTCGCTCCTTGGCAGCAAAACCTACTGTCCGCCCACACTGCCCATGCTGCTGCACCGGTAGCGAAACCGGATCCACGACGCTCACCTCGAGCGCATGTTTTTCCCCGTCCATTGGTTTCCTAACCGCCACATCCACTCTCTTCCCCGGCAGAAGCGTGTCATCCTCGATCGTAACCACCCCACCCGATGCCTTGGCTATCTTAGCAACAACGAGCTTCACTGCATCATGAACACGAGACGGGGCGTACTGGTACTTGCACCGAAGAGCATGGTGCGGATCTGACGGGTCCTTGAACTCCACACCGCAAACACACTTGCTAGCAACCAGAAGCTGGTGGACGGGAAGGCCCAAACGGATTGCCGCCGAAATGCCCCACTCCACAGGGGTGAAAGTTGCGTCATCATGCGCTGGAACTGCGAACACCCATGCTGCCGAACCCGGGCCCTGAAGGGAAGTCAAACGGGCCAAGGTAGCATCATCGCGGGCCATGCGCCGCAGAGACTGAAGACTTTCAACCGCCAAGCGACGCTGCTGCGCTGGGAAAAGCTGGAGGGGGGGATTTGTAGTGCAGAGCCCCAAACTCGGCAATTCCTGCCTGACAACAGGCGGGAGCTGGTCAAGGGCCTTGGTAAACCAAGGGTCCAGTAAATCCCCAGCCGGCGGAGTGCGGAAGAACTCACTGAACATCTGCTCCTCGCCCGCTACTCCCAGCTTGACAACAGCACTCGCAGCCTGGCACCACCCACAGACGTAAGAGAGAGGGCTAAGAGTTGCTGCTGAACGAATGCCAAACCCGCCCAAACGAGCCGGGAGGTGCAGCTGCAGGTGAGCCATGCGCGGCCTATCAGGACTGAAGTCCCAAGTGTCTGGCGGGAAAAGTTGCTCAAAGCACTCTTCCAAAGCCCCATCCCAATCTCTGAAAGCGTCAAGAACCTCAGGACGAGGGGGAACAGTGCGAGTCAAGAAGAGCGGCCGCGCAGACACGGCAACAGCCAACAAGTGGGAGGCAATCTGGGGGTGGTTCAAAATAGGAAGCCAAGGTAGAGGTGATCGCATCTGCAAAAGTCTCTCCCTCAAGCGCGCCACCTCCCAATCCTCCTCTCCAATAGGTACCCCCACTTCTGTTAACCCCGTCCACGACTGCTGCATTCCCAGCAGAATATCCCCAGACGCTGCCGCCTCCCCTCTTTCCCACATCCTACACTTGTGCGATTGCACCTCCAAGCCCACCCACTCCAGTCGCTCCCGCAAGACATCGTACGCCGCCAACACCCGCTCCCGCGGGCCAAGAACGTAGGTGTCATCAGCGTAGCTCAAGAAAAGAAGATCAGGGAAATCCTTCATTGTAGGCCCCATAACCAACTGCTGCGTGAAAGCAAAAAGGAAGGGACCAAATGGATCCCCCTGTCGCGAACCCCGCTCGGACGCCAGCATCTCGACAAAGGGGCCTGTGCGAAGGTACAGACCGCTGGGCACCCCATAAAAGACGCGTAAGAAAGGGATAAGGCCAGCAAAAGGAGAATCGCGGAGGCCGTCGAACATCACGTGCCGATGGAACGAGTTGAAGGCATTCGCTACATTGATCTGCAGCGCGCACCACGTCGGATGAACCGCTACAGCCGAGCGGAAAGCATGCGCCAGAATCTCCACCCCCGACTTAGTCCCCACCCCTAGTTGGTTACAAGGAGCGAAGTAGGTCTCCATGTCGGGACGAAGAAGAACGCATAACGCACGCGCCAGAATCCGAGGGAGCACCTCTCCGATAGCCACTGGGCGGACGTCCCCGTTCGGCTTGGATAACCCAACCAAGTTCGAGGCTGCAAGCCAGGGCCGCACCCGCTCAGAAACGCATCCCCAAACCCACTGCCTGAACACCTCCAACAGATGCGGGAGATAGGAAGGCTCCGAGAGAAATGTGTCTCGGAGGTGCTCTGTCATCCATCCTGAGGGGCCTGGTGCTGAGGCTCGCGCTGCGGAATGAATAGCATGCTTGAGGATGTCTTCAGTTAGGTGGGGAAGATGAGAAACGTCTATGCGAAAGTGCTCCACCCACTCAGGAACTGGCACCTCACTGGCCGGGTGCTTTGCTGTCAGCCGGTCTACTGTTAGTTGAGAGGGCTGCGCCAAGTCGCCCGCAGTAAGGCATGCTAGTCCTCGACTCCATTCCCCCACTTGGCACCTCGTGCGACATCGGGCCAAACGGATGGCATCAGCATCTCGCTCAGGTAAGGAGAAGGCAAGAGGTCGCGCCGCCGGAGTCAACGCGGCAGAGGCAGCCTCGAACAGCTGTTGCCATTCCCCTGCCCAGAACTTTCCGAGACGCCCTACTATGGCTGCCCTTCGTCCAAGACCCTCCTTCGCGGGGACTCCCAAAATGAGGCGCGGGAAGGCCAGGAACATCAGCGTCGCCGCCTCATCCCCAGGGGAAGCCTTCAGTCTCTTGAGAATGCAGCACAATGCATCAAGCACCCCCAGTCGCGCCCGCTGCGGGACTTGACGAAGAAGCTCTCCCGACACAGAATGAATACTGAAAAAAGTCTCCCAGTCCCACGAAGGCACCGCCCCCCACACCTCCTCACCGATATCCCGCGGAGGTACTGGATCTGCCCCGAAGACCTCGCTCAGGTTCGGGGAGGAAGTAAGGGCCTGAGCCCGCCGCTGAGCATCTGCCGCTTTACATGCAACTATGTGGCGGGAGGCCGCACCACCAGGCGGAAATGTGTGAAAGCAGAACTCGCAAGGGAAACAAGTTGGAGCAAGTGGAGCCGTGTCAGGAGTGGCTGAATTCTCCGCAACCCCCGGTGTGGGGCTTTCCGGAGGGATCGGGGGGGCTGCTGCTGCTGCTGCTGCTGCTGCTGCTGCCGCTGCTGCTGCCGCTGCCGCACGCCCTGAAGTGCTGCCCTCGCCCCCAGCTGCCCCCCTGCGTGCTGCACGCCCTGAGGTGCTGCAGTCACCCCCTGCTGTCCCGCTGCCTCATGCGGTGTACTGAAGACTCTGACATCTGACACTAGCGGGATTCTCGATTTCAAGCACTGGCTTGAGATTGTCCTGGCCTTGGAGTTTGCTCTACCATTTCTGCAGCTGAACGTGTAACCGGAATGCGGTTGGCTGTGATACTCGTATATATCAGAACGTCTTGATAGCTTACAAGACGGTTGAGTACGGTTTTGAGCTAGAAGTACATGACACCCTGGTTATCAGTGATCGTCAATGCTTCTGACTTTCAGTTGCGCCGTGATCCCCGCACGAGCTAAGCAGGAATCAACGATGAGAAAAACTACCGATTCTTTGCCGTCGCGCTTTTTGCGAAACCATTGATTCTGTTTGCAGAGTCATCGGAACGCTCTACCTTCTCGCAGCGACCTCTCCTCGCGGAGTTCTTTCCCTACGACCTAGCTCGATTTGAACCAGCACTCCGCTTAGAGTGCTACGTTAGCTACGGGAAGGTATTGCGAGATTGAAAAGTCCAACTCGTTAGTCCGTTCGCGCGCCTCGCGATCGCGTCACATCGCCAGGTCATAGCTCGACACGTGTCATGGCCAGCGTGGCAGCGGCGATCAATAGAGTGTCGTCGTCGAAAGTCGATGCGGATCTATGGTGGTCCTCACACGGTGCCTTGCTGGCGCGAGTCGAGGCGATTGACAGTGGAGGGAGTGACAATGTCGAGGAGGATGGTCGCGAGCTGGTACGTGTTACGAGAGTGAGCAAACTTCTTAACAAGCTCTGTAACCAGTGGTGTTTGTCGTTGGTTAACGTTCATAGACAAGTCGAGTGCAACGCGCGTCGGATACAGGCCTGACGGAGACTGACGGAGACTAGCTATCGCGTCTGGTTCGTACGTGATCTCCCTCATCGCGTCAGTCTTACAATCAGAGTCCGTAGGCGCAGTGACCCTGAGGATTTGGGGGTCTGGTTGTGAGCCTGACGCTATCAGAGCCCTCAGTCAAGCTCATCAACGAGTCTGTATGACTCGCTTGTAGTCTAGACACCTTGACCGTGACACTTCAGATTCAGATACAGGGTCCTGGTTCTGACGAGGCCAGCCATTACCCGAGTCCAGCCTTCATAGCTCGGAATCATATCCATGCAATCGAATTCCGTAACACCTT